TTTGAACCAGGACCTGTACTTGCAGTAGGACTTCAATGCAGCCATGAGCTAAGCAGGGAATATTGTTTAGTAAAAAAAATTACTATACAGACTAAGTCGGCGACAGCCATTTTCTGCAGTGGTACCAGACTCGCGGGAGTCGTGCTCAGGTAGTACGCACGCACTCCGGGCTCCTTCAATCAATAGGGTTTATACTAAGATGCGACGTACGTACTCACGCCTAGTCTTTAAGAATGCGTGCGGTATATGTGCATGGGGGTGGCACCACCGCAAAAGTGGCTTCTAATTTTGTTTGGCGAACTCCAGTATAACGCAAAAACTATAGCTTAGAACCAGTCAGAGCAATATACTTCACAAGTCTTTCGCTTGTACCTTGTTTCAACAGCTGGGAGATATTTACATGAATTTGTACTTGCTCCATGATCTTAACAAGCTTCTCTGTTCCTTGCTCTATGATCAAACCGTGGAGCTCAGTTGGATAGAACACACAGCAGTCCATTATGAATTACATACATGTACCATGGAAGGAGCTTTATGTTGGGGGGGGGGGGCCAAAATATCTCTTGATGACACAAGATTTAAGGAATGTTTCCCCTAGAGACGTGTTCCTCTAATCAACAACCTTGAAGGCTTCTGCATATTTCAAGTCATTAAGCACATACCCCCAAAATTGTTTATCCTAGGGAAAGACCCATGTAGTTTTTTTGGTGTGTGTATGGCATACCACATTAGCATTGGAGTGAAGGTCAGTAGATCTGGAAGAAAGGAAGCAAGCTATAATAGACTAGTAGTGGTCAGGGAATTTTTTCTGAATTGTAAGGAAGGAAGGGTGCTAAAAATTCCCTCTGTACATAGTCACTGTTATAATGCCAATAAATAGCTTTGTGAGCTTTTCTTGTGCCTATTCTGGAAAACATTCTTTACATTAAAAACAAAAAAGAGCAGACATGGAGAACTGAATTTATCTGAAGATAGATGTTGAAAAACCTTTTCATAGTAACAACTGCTTAATGAGATATAATAAATAGAGAAATCACAAGGAATGGTTGATATCTTTCTTCAAATGACAAAACGTCACTGTCAACAGAGGAAGAGTTAAGGCGAAGTGAAATAGAAGTGCGGAAACTTGCCATGACATCTCAAATTTGCATTTACATTTGCTTTTGCGTTGAGTATAAAGCAGCCATTAGAGTGAAATGATTCACATGAATATTCTGTCTTTATTAACTGACAGACTGACGACCGAGTCATTTACAGTTCTCTTCTAAGCAGCCTGTGACCCATTAGTACAAATTGAGAGTTGAAATGTAATGAACCAAATGGCTGAAGCCCAAGCGCTGTAATGGATTGGTTTAGGTAGACCCCGCTAAAATAGGATTATTGGTCGGTACTCCGCTTCCTCGGTTCCAAAGGCCTCGTGCTGCCAGTGAACAATGGCAAGCTGGTGTAGGTTAGTTGCTCATATAATCACATATCCATTACAACGTTGTTTTAGATTGCTAATCCAATTAACGCGTGGCAGAACTGTTATCCTCCGTAGCCCGCATATCAGTGACGTTTTTTTTAATCCACCAAGTGCATGGATTTGGTGAATGTTTCATTAATTTTTTTTCTTTTTGGGGGTCTTTTATTGGTTGGGGTGGAACATAACAGGATTCGGTGATCGTTTGTAGTTTTCGCTTCTGGGTACTCTCCAAAATAATGGAAGCAGTTAGTGAAATCCCAAAAGACAGCCACTATATTTTCATGTGATTACTGGCAACAATCAGCGCATTATTTCTGCCCAGTTGGAGACCAATGTAATGTCAAGTGTGTGCCGGGTCACCGTGAGAATTTTTCAAAAAGTACACTGTACTTTTCCATTTTGTAATGAATCATCAATTTTCTGCTCAAAATAATGTTCCAGTCACAGCTACACGTCACTGTGATCTCTAGAAATTGTCTGGGAAGATGCAGACAAGAGTGGTCAGGCTTCAGATGAAACATAGCATATTGCAATTTTACAGGTAATTGTACTTGATCTTGAAGAAGTGGCATTTTAAATTGTTGGCTTTCAAATTTTCTTCTTGTCAAAATGTCAACAACTTGATTTTATACGTTATTCTTTTTGAACTTGATATTGAAACGTAATTGCCAATTGACTGTAGAACAAAGAGAATTTAATGACATAGGATCTGAACATATATTAAAGACCTCTTTAACACTGCATCAGCATTCTTCCAACTTATATCCACAACTTTTTTGTGGTCTGCCAGCTTGTCAGTGTAATAAATTTGTTGATCCTGGGTGCAAAACGGAAAACTGATATTCGCTTAAAATTCATAAATTCTGAAGAAATATTTTAAATGCTTAGGTTTTGCAGAGAGAAAATTTTCCCAGCGTTCTCATGTGTTTACAAGAATGTTAGCATTGATCCTAGTCTGTTTGTTTCAGCAGGTGTTTCATTTATCTCATCAAGGAGTCCGGGAGCCAGACTGATTGTATTCTTATCTGTGCCATTTGCTTCAAGTAGATACTTGAGATTACAGCAATCTCAGCTCGACCGTCTGTTCTCTCAAGAAAAATGAACCATTTTCAGCCACTCTTGTTTTTTGGCCACTTGAAAGATAGATGCTTGTAATTTGGATAAAACAACCGGCGTGGCTTTGAAAATAGACTTTTTTATGTCGTGTCACTTTTTTTGTGAAGAGGTTTTTTTTGGGCTGGAAAAGGACTGTTCACAAGTGTTTCTGGCGAATTCAAGAGCGTCAAGAATTTTGTATTTAAGGGTTACAAATGGCCGTGATGTACAAACACTTTTGTGTGAAGTATGGAATGGAATGTTTTGAATTCCCTTGAATTGTCTTCGATGCTGTTTATTTCAAAGCATTTTTTGGGTCAGATTCGGTTTTTTGGGGGGTATTTTCCAACAAAGAAATCACTTGAACGTTCAAAAACAATTATGACCTGGTAATTTGAAGCGCACACATTAAGCTTTGTAATGTAATCTGGGCAGGGAAATGCCAGTTGTGAGGAGCGAAGGGTCGGTTGAAATTAAACATGAGGCTGTAAAAGTTTCTGTACACACTGTGCTTGGAGAGTAGAAAGTCTGTTTGTCGGAGGAGAGTGTTAGCGCTGTAGATGCTGGGCTGCTGATTTGCAGCAAACAAGAGATTTGAATGACAAAGAAGCCTTAGCCGGCCAGTATTGAGTCTCTGGCTCCAGCATAGCTCAGGCTTCTCAAGGATGTATGGGCCGACAACAAATAGATCAGCTAAATGGGTCATGAATAGATCAATTAAAGAGACCACACCAGTTCCCTCCCTGATCCATGAAGACGGAGAAAAGATCGCGTTCAGGGAAGATTAGACAGACCTTGTGGCGGGCATCTTCTGATTTCAGGTCTTTTTATCTGTGCAAATCACCCGTGTTTGGCTCATTGCTGGGACCGTTAGGTATTCCTTGGTTGCACCTCTGAACAATGCTGTAATCATGATGATTGCTGAGGGTTGGGGGAGGGTTCTCCTGGTTGGTTAGGCACTGCTCGGTTAGGCACTGCTCAGTGAGGCAAACAACATCGGCTGTGTAATAAGATGTAGCAATGGTATGAAGCGTGATGGTGAGACTTGCAGCTACATGAACACCATGCTCTGACTACCCAAGCTTGAAATCAAATTCTAGTAACGAAACTTGAATACAGACACAGTTCTCTGAACAGAATATTCTTGGAAGAGATTATCAAACAGTCACTGTGAACTTTTTTGTTCTGAAATTGGCACATCTGAGGTTTAATGCAAGCAGTTGTTCAGAAATATAAGTGCTGATAAATTTCTAGAAGAATTTTTGACAGTATTTTATCACGTGTCAGCACCGTTGGTGAGCCATAAATACTAGATTCTTTGCGGGGTTTTTTCAATGAAAATCCCTCATTGAAATGAATCGGCAATATGAATTATATGTTAATTTTTACTGCCTGCTAAAAAATAGCATGGTGTTCCTTGAAAATGAATATTGATTAATTTAAATAATGTAATAATTAGACATGGCTCAGTGCTAGTCAGGAAGTTAATATGACTAGCCTCCTGTTGGGTCCAGTGTACCTAGAATCAATACCTTACTCAGATTTCACTCTTGCTTGTTTGCTAAAACACGACAGAGAAGCGTCGAGTCTCCCAGTGGTCTGTTGAATGCATAGCGAGGGGAAATCTGTCCTGGAATGCTTTGTTATGGTGTGGGGTTAAGTTAAGAGTGTTATTGTATTCAGGATAATCCTGTCCGAGAGATATTCACTGAGGAGTTGGTGTGAGGATGGTGTGAGGATGGTGTGAGGATCGGGCTCTTGTGGGGTTTAGAAGAATATGGGCTTGCTGTAAGCCTTGTAGAACTTTATGAAATTATGTCTTTTCCTTTTTTTTTGCAAGTGATTTGGTTGGGAAAAAAAGGTGTCACTAGATTTGATTTTAGTTATTTACATGGCTGCCAGGAGTTCCAGGTTGACATTATTTTGATTTCATTCATTCATTTTATCAGTCATGTCCAGAATTGCATGGCCTTAGTTTGTTGTCAGAATACTATGCATCCTCGGAAAATTTGTGATTTAACAAATTTCACCAATTGTCATAGCAACCAAACCAATGCAATTTAGGGGTATCATAGTCATAAGATACTGGCATGGTTGCTGTGGCAACCAGAGAGGAGATTCCTAACCCAGCAGTGTGAGCATTTCATTGTAGGCCTTTGATGTGGGAGGAATTATAGGTGGACTGAAGGGAGCCCTCTATTGGTGTAAACATGCCAGGCTGGAAAGATTTCTACAGTTTAAGTAGAACTAGAAGTACACACTTGTCTCTCTTTGATACTGAGGTGGAGGCTTTAAACTTGGCATCTTGAAACCATGCAACAGTCAAAGACGATCAGAAATATTGTTATCACTTTTTCAGGCAAGAAAACATTTGCTTGGTTGGAAGATGTTCATGACCATGAGATTTATAACCAATCTTTATGTGTGTTTTTTTTTTCAGAAGACAGAAGGAATCCCAGTAGAGATAAGAATCCTGAGAGACCGGAGGATCCAACAGGCAGCAAGCCACCGACTGGAAGTAAGTAAGACTAAGAAGGCAGAGGATTGTCCAGTAGGGCTGTGCATTTACAGGTAGTACAGGATGGGTAGTACGGTAACCCAACCCCACAATTCAAATCTTGGAAGTTGCTGTTCAGATTGTTCATAAAGGTCTGTGCGATAATACTACCACATCAGTGCAGCAAATCATGTGTGTACAGTGAGCTTTATAGCTTTTTGGTGAAAAACTACAACTTAAGCAAGCGTCATACACGTGACATCTGTTTTGTTTTTCACGTAGCCTGGTTTTCACTTTTAAAATTCCTCACAAATGACACTCACAACCTTTGTTTTTCATTGTCTGAGAAGTTACTAAGTTATTTGTAAAGTTGGTTACGGGTACCCGATCCCATAATCTGGAACCGGTTCCTGACATCAACGGTCGGGTACTCAGGTACCTGGTTCCGATGCACAGCCCTATTGTTCAATTTGATGAAAGGGGGAAAAACAAAATACTGATGTGATTTATATCTTTTATAGACAACATACGACAACATACTGACAACATAAGTCATAGAGATGCAAATATATGTTTCCACATAATAAATTGTATGAAAGAAAGATAACTTTGAAAAGATGGAAAGAGACCACTACTTATGTTTTTCAATGAAGTTGTTTTCTGTTTATACTGACTCATCCAGTATTTATCTTCTGACCTCATTCTTATTCTGAATTTATCATGAGGTAGGCTTGTGCATGGTTTGACCTTCTCTCTTTCCAAAGGTTGAGTGTCAAAAGGTTTGAGTATCTACCTGACTGCTTACATTTCTTTATTTGACTGGAAAGCTAATACAATAAATCATCTGATGATACTTGAGGTGGAACAGTACTAAAGCCTTAACAGACGCTTCCGTTATATATCCGCGAGTCACCATAATCGGCGTAGGTCACGCTTGCAACGCGCGCGCGTTGTCCAATGCAAATTGAATGCGTGTGTGTCGAAATAGGACCACGCCGTTTTAGGCGGTCTTACGATACTAACCTCTCATGTTCATGTTCATGTTTGTCTCCACCCCAGCTAAACCCAAATTCTCACAGCCCTCCAAGATGAGAAAAAAGAACCTGGTGCGTCCCTTGAACAGCTCAGTGCGGCTCAAGTGTGCGGCCACTGGCTACCCCAAACCCCAGATACTCTGGATGAGGAACGGTGCGACACTAACTGAGGCAGAGTTAGGTGAACAAGGAGCCACGTGGACTCTCAAACTCATGAATCTCAGGGCTTCAGATTCTGGAGATTACACTTGTGTGGTATTCAACAGGAATGGGAGAATCAATGCTACATATACTGTGGAAGTTGTAGGTAAGACATCAATACAAAATTGTGCTTTAGAAGTGATTGTTACATGGAGATGTGTTTTTTTTTATCTTGCTTTGTGGCATATCTTCTTGCTAAGTTTGTAGCAAAAAGCCGAGGAATTCCTTCTTTAATGAAATTTGCATTATGTCAATTAAAGTCCCCACTTTGTAATATGCTTTCTGTCCAGCACCAGTTTTTAAAATTGTAACTCGGGTTTAAAGTATTGGAAGCATCTCTGTTAAGAACTGTGTTGAACCATGGAGGTAGGAAACATGGAGTTAACTCTCCATATTTCCTACCTCCATGGTTGAACTGGGACATCGTAAACAACTGGCCAATGTTTTAATTCTCATTGAATAAAGTTGAAATCTTTGTTGCCTTTCATTGTGGATATGGCCAATGAACATACCGATTGTAAGATTTCTTAATTTTTTTGACCCATTTAACATTCGACCTGTTCTTGGGAGACTAAAACTAGACGTGTTACTTTGTTCACTTTGACCAGATCAAGTACATACCAAGCCTGTATTGCAAGGTGAACATCCGGTCAACACGACGGTGGCTTACGGAGGAACAACCTCCTTCCAATGTCGAGTCCGTAGCGACACGCCCCCTCACATCCAGTGGTTGAAGCGAGTTGAACCGCACAACGCTAATCAACGAATCAATGCGACGATCGATATGGACGGGCAGAAGTTTGTGGTGTTACCAGCCGGGGAAGTGTGGTCTCGACCTGATGGGTCCTACTTGAATAAACTCATGATCTCCCACGCCACGGAGGAAGACAGTGGGATGTATATATGCCTGGGAGCCAACCTGAATGGCTACAGCGTCAAGAGCGCATTCTTGGAAGTATTACCTGGTAAGTCTGTCAGTCAGTTAGGATGTCTGTCTATGTGGCAGATATCATTCTTCTTGTGGCTGAAGATCTCAAGACCCTCGACAGCTGTCTAAGAGGTGTATTTGACTTTTCGAATTTTTGACAATGCACAAGAGATCTACTCATATGTGCCCCTGCTGAACAACAGCACTGCACCTCCAAGATGGCTGCCATGCAAAGGGTCTATAGTGTCAACTCGAGTATTGTTTCATAAAAGAAAGTGCACTATTACTGAGCTGTCTTTTTCTGCCTCTGATTTCAAAGGAATGTGTTGATAGTGTTGAATCTTGTGGAGGAATGTGTTGATAGTGATGAATCTTGTGGAGGCTTGAAATAGTTAACAATATTTGCCTGTTTAGAAGTTTTATGCTTCTGCTTTGTCAATTAACCTGACCGTCTGGCATGTGTTTATCTTTTATTTCATGTAAACAGAATGGTCCTATTAATACATGCAGGTTAATACTTCCATTTGTTGGTTTGGTTTCAGATCCCAATGGCCAGTCATCACCGGACGGTCGACCCAACAATCCCAACCATATTGACTTAGAGATTGACGATACAGTCGCAAAGCAGACACCGCAAGCCATGGATGCCACCAAGAAAGCTCTCCTCATCACTATCCCTATAGCCTTCGCTGTTCTCTTCTGTCTCGGAGCGGCCGTCTGTACCTACCACCGCAACAAAAACCTGCAGGGTTACGCAAGCCCCGCCCCTAACCAGCCATCCAATCATCTGGCAGCAAGGGCGGAGCACAAACGCAACACGCCTGTGCATCCTAACCAATCAGACTGTGAGCAAAGCGTACCGTTAACGTCGCCCCCATCAAGCTTAGGAGGGGTACACTCGTATCACCCTCCGAGTCGTGACGGGGCTGCTATTAATAGATACACAGACTTGGGGATGAGTGCTGAGAGTTACTCAGATACGCTCAACAGTAGCGGTAGTTTGTCTAGCAGTAAGGTGCATACGCATCAACACGTACATCAACATCACGTTGTGCATCACTGCTAGCGTTTGTTTTTAATCCTTGTACAGAAATGTGTATATATCAATATACAAATATAAGAAGTGTAATATTTACAAAATGGCGTCTGGGTGTGTTGCGGAGATGGAATGACCTTTGGACTTTCCCAGAATGCATTGTGGGAAACGTTGCAGATTTTTTTTCCTGTGGGGAGAGGTCCGTTCTATCATATGAAATTGTAATTGGTTTTAAGGGCTTGGATTACTTTTTGAGTATCTGCGGTTTGCGTGGCGTTAAAGTCACTTGATTTTTATGAAAGTTTCACCAGACAGACCCAACCAGTTCAAATCAACTCAGAACTAAACGATGAATTTATGCTATATTATCATTACTATAGGTAATTGATGCATCTCTCCTGTTTCCCAGAGTGCTTTGCTACTATCCCACAATGCCACTCGTTTCCCATAAAGCTCAGCTATGCCATATTTATACATATTGTGTTTATATACCAATGTTTGTACAGCAGTATATATGTATGAAAATATTATATAGAACTTATTTTATAGATATTATTGGTTATGACTCGACGGAGATAAAGGCTGGCCTAAACTTAGAAATTCATGCTGATTATTTGGAATGAAATTATTTCAGCGATTTTTTTAAAATCGCGATTCACATTTAGAGAATAGACCACATTTCTCAGTCAATCAGGGCACTACAACAATGCCTTTCTCCAGGTACAAACACGAGGAAAACCCGCTCATTAAAACAGTTTAGGTACTCGAATTAAAATCTTAAAATTAAAGATTGTAAAATGAATTTTTTGCATTGAAGCAAAATTGTAAATCTACTCTGAATTACAAGTCTATATCCCCAAAATGGCAATTTTCAGCAACCTTGTTCGTTTTAGAATAAGGAATAAGAGAAAAATCCGTGTTCAATTTTGATGCCAAACAAATATTGAACCCAAAAGCTGTTAAACATTCAGCAGTTGAATCTTAGTGTCTGATCAGTGACATAAAAAGCTAGGATAAAGTTGTTGTGGACGTTATGAGTTTCTTATCCAACTCTGTCGTCACCTCCTGGCCTATCCACTATTCATTTTGTAGCTCTTTCCTTAAACCTTGTTTCCTTTAAACGTTTGTAGCTGTATATTTTTTTTTATTATAGTACCCCTTTCCTGAATCATGTTGAAAAAGTGATTTTTTTTTTCAGTGCTTAAAACAAATTGGTGCTGGATTTATCTGAAATCTATATGCCTGTGCCTTTTTTTTTAACAGTTTGTTAAGAATGTTCAGGCTTTTTTGTTTTGCCTTTATATATTCTCTTGAGCTCATTAGTTACATTTGTTGACTTTATTGAAATTTAATAGCTACAAAAAAGGATTTGATGTTATAATGAACCACTTTGCTGCCCTATACATATTATCAAGGTATACTTGTCTAAATGCGAAACCACTGCCAAAGTTTATAATTGTCAGTTAGCCCAATGATTCATTATATCTTTGTTGTTACTTTTGACCTGTTCATTACTCTACTTCTTAGACAATTCAGTATTAGTTTTTATTTCAAAAGTTCACGTTTGTTCATGTTAATATTATTAACTTGGGGAAAACAGGATTTTATATTCTTTGTTGCCTTTGTGTCAGTTATGCACAAAAAAATCTGCTTCAGTTAATTTCAGGCTTCAAAGGATTCAAATTTGAAAAGTGAGCAGACTTTTCTGTTGGACATCACTCAAATGGGAAGAACTTCTGTATTGCTAGAACCCCTGAAAATAACACTCAAAGAACATCTCTTTAAGGTCCAGCATAATTTTATTGAGATAAGTTACAATTAGTCCATCAGCCTGGGGGTTTGGTCAGTATCAAATCAGGGCATAAATGATTATAGTGAGCATGTGCAAGGTATACCGCCCCTAGAGTGGTAACAAGCATTTTGATGGACATTTTGAAAAAAAGGGTGATAGCACTGCAGCGGTGGCAGCTTTTTGGGTGTTATCACATATTTTCCAATTCTGGAGGTGTATACCTTGCCAAAAATCGCTATGACAATTATTCCCCTCATTTGATACTGGCGGACAAAATTTTGGACCGAGGCTGATGGCCTACATATTACATATTATTTCCTGTCCAAAATAATCTGCAATGTAGTAGTAGTATTAAACAACAGTGCTTTCCTATTACATTTAAATTAAATGTATTGCATTAATTGACAGGATGTGGGGGTGTTGCTTTAAAACTTTCCCTATTTTTATTGTTGCATGCTAGGTCTCTAATAAACTTGTGTTTCTATCCAAAATAAGGCAACTTGCCACATTTTCACTTGAGCAATGTATGTTACGATCCCTTGATTTACATTTTTCTATCACTTACTTGTCCACTAACATCAGGGATTTCATAGTTTTCAGTTACTGAACTGCTTTTTTTCCCCACTTTTTATTGAAGGCATTTTGTAAACCTTTGTACATACAACTTTTGGCAGAGTAAAAATGTTACACAAACCTGTAAACAGAATTCATGTGTTTACGCTGTCCTTTTTCTTTCTTTTTGCTGCAAATCTGGATTTGTATAAAAAGTTGTGAAGATGGTTGGATTGCTAGGACTCATTCAAAATGTAAGGTTAACCCCCTTGCCATTTTAAAATGGTTTCTAAAAAAGGATTTATTACAAAAACATTAAATGTGTTCCAGGGATGTTAACTTCAAAACATTTGTCAAAATCTTGCACATTTTGCTTGTTTGAATATAATTGATGACCCTGAGGCATCAAAAGGCATTTCTAAGAAGTTTGAAGAAAAGTCAATTTTTGGCCAAAGTTCATTAAAAATGCAAGGTTAACCCCCTTGCAATTGTTTTTTAAAGTTACTGCAAAGACGCCCCAGGGTCCTTAAAACATGTTTAAATTAAAATGACAGGCAGATGTGCCTTTGAAAGAAAAAAAATCGTCAAAAATAGGTAAAGTTGGTCTAAACTCAGAGTATTGATTGATGTTCCTCTTCCATCCCGATGAATTTCCGCTTTGTTTTGAGAAAAGTCAATTTTTGGCCGATTTTGACTCAAAAAGTAAGGCTAACCCCTTACATTTTTTTTAATTTTGGCTAAAATATGAAATTTCTTGAAAGTTGCTAGAAAGATGCCCTAAAGGCCCTTGAACACATTCCAAATCGATTACTGGACAGATGTGCTATTAAAGGGGTAATTCCGTCGAAAAATTAAGGTAATATCGCTCAAAAATTAATTTTTTTTCATCAAAAATTGTTGTTTTTTGCCCAAATCTTCAAATTTATGCGTGTTAGAGTATCGATTGATGTTCCTCTTGCATCCAGATGAATTTCTGCCTAGTTTTGAGAAAAGTCAATTTTTGGCCGATTTTGACTCAAAATGTAAGGCTAACCCCTTACATTTTTTTCAATTTTGGCCAAAAAATTGAAATTTCTTGAAAGTTGCTAGAAAGATGCCCTAAAGGCCCTTGAACGCATTCCAAATCGATTACTGGACAGATGTGCTATTAAAGGGGGTAATTCCGTCGAAAAATTAAGGTAAAATCGCTCAAAAATTAATTGTTTTTCATCAAAAATTGTTGTTTTTTGCCCAAATCTTCAAATTTATGTGTGTTAGAGTCGATTGATGTTCCTCTTGCATCCAGATGAATTTCTGCCTAGTTTTGAGAAAAGTCAATTTTTGGCCGATTTTGACTCAAAATGTAAGGCTAACCCCTTACATTTTTTTCAATTTTGGCCAAAAAATGAAATTTCTTGAAAGTTGCTAAAAAGATGCCCTAAAGGCCCTTGAACGCATTCCAAATCGATTACTGGACAGATGTGCTATTACAGGGGTAATTCCGTCAAAAAATTAAGGTAAAATCGCTCAAAAATTAATTTTGTTTCATCAAAAATTGTTGTTTTTTGCCCAAATCTTCAAATTTATGCGTGTTAGAGTATCGATTGATGTTCCTCTTGCATCCAGATGAATTTCTGCCTAGTTTTGAGAAAAGTCAATTTTTGGCCGATTTTGACTCAAAATGTAAGGCTAACCCCTTACATTTTTTTCAATTTTGGCCAAAAAATGAAATTTCTTGAAAGTTGCTAGAAAGATGCCCTAAAGGCCCTTGAACGCATTCCAAATCGATTACTGGACAGATGTGCTATTACAGGGGTAATTCCGTCAAAAAATTAAGGTAAAATCGCTCAAAATTTATTTTGTTTCATCAAAAATTGTTGTTTTTTGCCCAAATCTTCAAATTTACGCGTGTTAGAGTATCGATTGATGTTCCTCTTGCATCCAGATGAATTTCTGCCTAGTTTTGAGAAAAGTCAATTTTTGGCCGATTTTGACTCAAAATGTAAGGCTAACCCCTTACATTTTTTTCAATTTTGGCCAAAAAATGAAATTTCTTGAAAAGTGCTAGAAAGATGCCCTAAAGGCCCTTGTACGCATTCCAAATCAATTACTGGACAGATGTGCTATTAAAGGGGTAATTCCGTCGAAAAATTAAGGTAATATCGCTCAAAAATTAATTTTTTTCATCAAAAATTGTTGTTTTTTGCCCAAATCTTCAAATTTATGCGTGTTAGAGTATCGATTGATGTTCCTCTTGCATCCAGATGAATTTCTGCCTAGTTTTGAGAAAAGTCAATTTTTGGCCGATTTTGACTCAAAATGTAAGGCTAACCCCTTACATTTTTTTCAATTTTGGCCAAAAAATGAAATTTCTTGAAAGTTGCTAGAAAGATGCCCTAAAGGCCCTTGAACGCATTCCCAATCGATTACTGGACAGATGTGCTATTACAGGGGTAATTCCGTCAAAAAATTAAGGTAAAATCGCTCAAAAATTAATTTTGTTTCATCAAAAATTGTTGTTTTTTGCCCAAATCTTCAAATTTATGCGTGTTAGAGTATCGATTGATGTTCCTCTTGCATCCAGATGAATTTCTGCCTAGTTTTGAGAAAAGTCAATTTTTGGCCGATTTTGACTCAAAATGTAAGGCTAACCCCTTACATTTTTTTCAATTTTGGCCAAAAAATGAAATTTCTTGAAAGTTGCTAGAAAGATGCCCTAAAGGCCCTTGAACGCATTCCAAATCGATTACTGGACAGATGTGCTATTACAGGGGTAATTCCGTCGAATAATTAAGGTAAAATCGCTCAAAAATTAATTTTTTTTCATCAAAAATTGTTGTTTTTTGCCCAAATCTTCAAATTTATGCGTGTTAGAGTATCGATTGATGTTCCTCTTGCATCCAGATGAATTTCTGCCTAGTTTTGAGAAAAGTCAATTTTTGGCCGATTTTGACTCAAAATGTAAGGCTAACCCCTTACATTTTTTTCAATTTTGGCCAAAAAATGAAATTTCTTGAAAGTTGCTAGAAAGATGCCCTAAAGGCCCTTGAACGCATTCCCAATCGATTACTGGACAGATGTGCTATTACAGGGGTAATTCCGTCGAATAATTAAGGTAAAATCGCTCAAAAATTAATTTTGTTTCATCAAAAATTGTTGGTTTTTGCCCAAATCTTCATATTTATGCGTGTTAGAGTATCGATTGATGTTCCTCTTGCATCCAGATGAATTTCTGCCTAGTTTTGAGAAAAGTCAATTTTTGGCCGATTTTGACTCAAAATGTAAGGCTAACCCCTTACATTTTTTTCAATTTTGGCCAAAAAATGAAATTTCTTGAAAGTTGCTAGAAAGATGCCCTAAAGGCCCTTGAACGCATTCCCAATCGATTACTGGACAGATGTGCTATTAAAGGGGTAATTCTGTCGAAAAATTAAGGTAAAATCGCTCAAAAATTAATTTTTTTTTCATCAAAAATTGTTGTTTTTTGCCCAAATCTTCAAATTTACGCGTGTTAGAGTATCGATTGATGTTCCTCTTGCATCCAGATGAATTTCTGCCTAGTTTTGAGAAAAGTCAATTTTTGGCCGATTTTGACTCAAAATGTAAGGCTAACCCCTTACATTTTTTTCAATTTTGGCCAAAAAATGAAATTTCTTGAAAGTTGCTAGAAAGATGCCCTAAAGGCCCTTGAACGCATTCCCAATCGATTACTGGACAGATGTGCTATTAAAGGGGTAATTCTGTCGAAAAATTAAGGTAAAATCGCTCAAAAATTAATTTTTTTTTCATCAAAAATTGTTGTTTTTTGCCCAAATCTTCAAATTTACGCGTGTTAGAGTATCGATTGATGTTCCTCTTGCATCCAGATGAATTTCTGCCTAGTTTTGAGAAAAGTCAATTTTTGGCCGATTTTGACTCAAAATGTAAGGCTAACCCCTTACATTTTTTTCAATTTTGGCCAAAAAATGAAATTTCTTGAAAGTTGCTAGAAAGATGCCCTAAAGGCCCTTGAACGCATTCCCAATCGATTACTGGACAGATGTGCTATTACAGGGGTAATTCCGTCGAATAATTAAGGTAAAATCGCTCAAAAATTAATTTTGTTTCATCAAAAATTGTTGGTTTTTGCCCAAATCTTCATATTTATGCGTGTAGAGTATCGATTGATGTTCCTCTTGCATCCAGATGAATTTCTGCCTAGTTTTGAGAAAAGTCAATTTTTGGCCGATTTTGACTCAAAATGTAAGGCTAACCCCTTACATTTTTTTCAATTTTGGCCAAAAAATGAAATTTCTTGAAAGTTGCTAGAAAGATGCCCTAAAGGCCCTTGAACGCATTCCCAATCGATTACTGGACAGATGTGCTATTAAAGGGGTAATTCTGTCGAAAAATTAAGGTAAAATCGCTCAAAAATTAATTTTTTTTCATCAAAAATTGTTGTTTTTTGCCCAAATCTTCAAATTTACGCGTGTTAGAGTATCGATTGATGTTCCTCTTGCATCCAGATGAATTTCTGCCTAGTTTTGAGAAAAGTCAATTTTTGGCCGATTTTGACTCAAAATGTAAGGCTAACCCCTTACATTTTTTTCAATTTTGGCCAAAAAATGAAATTTCTTGAAAGTTGCTAGAAAGATGCCCTAAAGGCCCTTGAACGCATTCCAAATCAATTACTAAACAGATGTGCTATTAAAGGAGTAATTCCGTCAAAAAATTAAGGTAAAATCGCTCAAAAATTAATTTTTTTTCATCAAAAATTGTTGGTTTTTGCCCAAATCTTCAAATTTATGCGTGTTAGAGTATCGATTGATGTTCCTCTTGCATCCAGATGAATTTCTGCCTAGTTTTGAGAAAAGTCAATTTTTGGCCGATTTTGACTCAAAATGTAAGGCTAACCCCTTACATTTTTTTCAATTTTGGCCAAAAAATGAAATTTCTTGAAAGTTGCTAGAAAGATGCCTTAAAGGCCCTTGAACGCATTCTAAATCAATTACTGGACAGATGTGCTTTTACAGGGGTAATTCCGTCGAATAATTAAGGTAAAATCGCTCAAAAATAAAATTTTTTTCATCAAAAATTGTTGGTTTTTGCCCAAATCTTCAAATTTATGCGTGTTAGAGCATCGATTGATGTTCCTCTTGCATCCAGATGAATTTCTGCCTAGTTTTGAGAAAAGTCAATTTTTGGCCGATTTTGACTCAAAATGTAAGGCTAACCCCTTACATTTTTTTCAATTTTGGCCAAAAAATGAAATTTCTTGAAAGTTGCTAGAAAGATGCCCTAAAGGCCCTTGAACGCATTCCAAATCGATTACTGGACAGATGTGCTATTAAAGGGGTAATTCCGTCGAAAAATTAAGGTAAAATCGCTCAAAAATTAATTTTTTTTCATCAAAAATTGCTGTTTTTTGCCCAAATCTTCAAATTTATGCGTGTTAGAGTATCGATTGATGTTCCTCTTGCGTCCAGATGAATTTCTGCCTAGTTTTGAGAAAAGTCAATTTTTGGCCGATTTTGACTCAAAATGTAAGGCTAACCCCTTACATTTTTTTCAATTTTGGCCAAAAAATGAAATTTCTTGAAAGTTGCTAGAAAGATGCCCTAAAGGCCCTTGAACGCATTCCAAATCGATTACTGGACAGACGTGCTATTAAAGGGGTAATTCCGTCGAAAAATTAAGGTAAAATCGCTCAAAAAATATTTTTTTTTCTTCAAAAATTGTTGGTTTTTGCCCAAATCTTCAAATTTATGCGTGTTAGAGTATCGATTGATGTTCCTCTTGCATCCAGATGAATTTCTGCCTAGTTTTGAGAAAAGTCAATTTTTGGCCGATTTTGACTCAAAATGTAAGGCTAACCCCTTACATTTTTTTTCAATTTTGGCCAAAAAATGAAATTTCTTGAAAGTTGCTAGAAAGATGCCCTAAAGGCCCTTGAACGCATTCCAAATCGATTACTGGACAGATGTGCTATTAAAGGGGTAATTCCGTCAAAAAATTAGAGTAAAATCGCTCAAAAAATATTTTTTTTTCATCAAAAATTGCTGTTTTTTGCCCAAATCTTCAAATTTATGCGTGTTAGAGTATCGATTGATGTTCCTCTTGCATCCAGATGAATTTCTGCCTAGTTTTCAGAAAAGTCAATTTTTGGCCGATTTTGACTCAAAATGTAAGGCTAACCCCTTACATTTTTTTCAATTTTGGCCAAAAAATTAAATTTCTTGAAAGTTGCTAGAAAGATGCCCTAAAGGCCCTTTAACGCATTCCAAATCGATTACTGGACAGATGTGCTATTTAAGGGGTAATTTCGACAAAAAAATTAAGGCAAAATTGCTGAAAAAATTATTTTTTTTTGCTCCAAAAATTGTTGTTCTTTTTGCCCAAATATTCAAAATTATGCATATTAGAGTATCTTGCAATTTTCTGCAATTTTTGTTGAAAAATGAAATTCTTTTAAAGTTGTTGAACATGTTTAAATTAAAATAGTGGTCTGCCCAGTATACAGTTCATTTTGAAGGAACTTTTTGTCAAAAAATAGGGGAAATCGGTCAGAATATTCACCAAAATCTAGCAAATTTTGCTTGTTGAAATGGATCTATTTACAGATGCCGGAAAATTGTACGCTAAGGGAGCCAGTCTAGCTGACCTGCACCCATTCATGAACATAAAACCAATTAGTAAACAAAATTGGACTGAAAAAAATGGTAAATTTGGAGCAGTAGTGAAAAATAGTTCCTGTAAGGTATTTCGTAAAAACTTGGTCATTTTATTTTTCGATGTTTAAAGGTACATTAACAGGAAATTTGACTATTATTATACATGTAATCACACTGCGCAAATCACATAACAAATCTCAAATGCACATAACAACAAATACAATATTACAGTTCAATTGAACATTCAAAAATTACAGTTCCATATTGAAGTAATACATTGACAAAATTGACAAAAAAATTTTAAAAAGAATTTGAAAATCCTGGACCTTTAGTCAAAGAACAAATTGATTCCCCAAGGCATATCCACAGAGTAACATCAGAATCAGTGCAACGGGTCCCGGTGCGCTGAATTTCATGCTCCCCCCTCTTCGAGGAGGGGGCTTTTTCTTGGGAGGGGGCTTATTCTTGGGAGGAGCTAGGAAATAGAAACGCATGAAAATTAATTAATACATTCATTCTGTTTTTTTTATCAAAATATACTTTTCCTTAACCCTAAGCACCACAAATCAGCCTCCACTTGATTTTTATATCAGAAATTTATAGCTTGGTCCACTAATGATTTTTTGGAAATGAGGCTTAGTTTCCTTATCTTACTTTAGTACAAAAAAACTGTGTTAGTGGGTGAATTCAGGAAGGCTGATAAAAACAAATATCTTTGGAGGATTGACTGACAGACAGCAAACAATTTCTGATGTCAGTTTTTTAGTGTGTGTGTGTGGGGGGGGGGGGGATTGGCCAAATTGACAACTGACCTGAAGTGACTTCCAACTCCGCTATCTTTGTGCTGCTTCCAAAGTCGTTCTCGGCGCGGCACATGTAGTTTCCAGCATCTTCCTTAGTTACGCTGTAGATGCTCAACGTCTGAGAATAAACATCTTCTTGCAGAGGGTTGTTCTGAAAAGTTGAAGGATGGAGACTTTTATTTTGTTTGGTGCATGGGAAAATCTGATGAGGTTTAATGAACAGGCTTTAACTGATCTTAACTGATGTTGAAAATTTGAGTTAAAACAGTTGTATCACTCAGTTCAACATACGTGAATTTAACAGTTCCCCAAATTCCTGGTGTTTAGCCTCGAAAAACTGTGCCTATACTGATATCCAGCGTCCAGAATTAGAAGCTTGTTACTGCGTTGGTGTCATGCTCAAGCGCATGCTGCACGCGTTCTTAATGACGAGACGCACGCGCATTTGGGTATTCCTATTGGTTGAAAGAGCCCACAGTTCATGTGTACTTCCTGAGAGCGACTTGCACGAGCCTGCGCCGCCGCAGAAAATGGCTGTCGCAGGATTTGTCTATATTTAAAAGACTTTCAAGATACTACGTTATGATTGCCCAAATGAAAATACAGTTTATACAGTGTAGGTTCAGTTGATCAGATAAATTAAAGTAAATGGACCATTTTCATTACAAAAGTACAATATTGCATACTTTACACTTACAACTTGTATGTCAATCTTCTTTCGAATGGGTACAAGTCTACTATTATTGCTTGATGTTGTTTCTGTTTTCCACCACTCAAAAGCTGTTGAAGTCGTACTCTGGACTTGACAATTAAACGTGGCTGTGCTACCAACTCTAACCTTCTGCTTTCCCATGGTAGAAATGATGGGTTGAGTCTTGACTGAAAAACAAATACATGCATCACACATCAGTGATAAAAGAGACAAACAAGGACACTGTTTTCAAGGTCACTGCTAGGATTTAATTTGTGTTTGAAGTAGTTCAAGCTTTGAAGTATACTTTGATAATGTCAAGGGAGACAGGCTAGCACAGTGCTCCTTTCCTCCATCTATATGGCCCAGGTTCGAATCACACCCAGGTTCACATGTGGATTGGATTTTCAATCCCTGCCTGATTCCACAGATTTCCCCTAAATAGTTGTCTGGGGTTTTCCTCTCCCAACATCTACACAGAGACGCACACAAATCACCTCACAATATGACATATTATCTAAGACATATTAGTTATCTTACACTTTTATGTTTTAAAAATAGTTTCTTTAAAATGTGTATCTTTAGAAAAAGCTTTTAGACAAAAGAAAACTCCGTTATTCACATCAGACAATTAGAATGCCAGAAACACAAGATTATTCTCACTTTGAGCAGAATTTCTTAAATAAACATAGCATCTAACACTGCCTGGATCTAATCCAAGTTTGTACCTGGCAAATTGGAAATTATATACAAGGGTTAATATAGTTAATAATGGCCAACACTTGTACTCGTATATATAAAACAAATTTCCATGGCAACAGAAATGTCCATTTGTTCTTTTGTTTACTGATTTATTTATTTGACAGACTGACCTTGACTGACAGTCAGCTGTGCACTCTATCTGCTGGTTCCTGCCTTGATACCTGCGTAGCATATATAGGATCCAGCATCTTCCAAAGTTACTCTGTAGATCTTCAATGTCTGAGAATAAACATTCTCTTGCCTAGGAGTATTCTGGAATACAGAAGGGTGCATGGACACTTACATTTCCTGGTAGAAGGGAGAAGTTTGCAGAGCTGTAACCAAGTCATTTTTTCCCAAGTTAAGTCAAGTCTCAAGTCAAAAAAATAGTGACTTGAGTCAGACTCAAGTCTGAGTCAGCGACTTGAGTCAACAACACTTGAAGTTTGAGTGTAATCACGGGCTCCGCTCATAAGTCCGACGCCTCATAGGTCAAACGCCTCATATTTCAGACTTGTGAGGTGTCGGACTTATTTGGCATAACATTTACTTGTTCTGCCTCATAGGTCTGATGCCACATAAGTCGGATGCCTCATAGCTCCAACACCTCATAAGTCTGAAACAGCCTTTGTCTGTTGTCGGATTTATGAGGCGTCGGACTTATGAGGCGTCTGACCAATAGACCAATAAGGCAGAATTTTTGCCTCATAAGTCCGACGTCTCATAAGTCCGAATTTATGAGGCGTCGGACCTATAAGGCATCAGACTTATGATACGGCCCCATAATCACTAGGCACTAACCATACATGTGGCAACAGGTAGAATTTGTGTTTGCATGTGCACAAATCAAGAAGTATGACAAAACTCCAAACAAATTGTGGGACTATAATTTTAATCATTTAGTTTACTTTTGTTTTACAAGATTCACATAAAAACACCAAGCACTCTATACTTACAATGAGTATGTCTATCTTATCTGGAATGGCTCTCAGTTCATGTCTACTGCCTGACTGGTCCGTTTTCCACCAGTGGATTGCTGGTACTGCTAAGCTTCTGACTCGACAATCAAATGTGACGGTGCTACCAACGCTAACCTCCTGATTGTTCATGTCAGAAATGATGGGAGGAGTGGCTAGTTTGTTTGAAAAATAAATGCATGTATCAAATTAGTGACAAAAGAGAAAAAGAAAGTACAGTTACAAACTTTGGCTCAAACTTCAAAATAGTTTCTTAAAAAATAACATCCCCAGAATTATACAGTCATCTGAACTATTAAGAATATAACAAATATAAGATGATCTTTATACTTGTAGTACATTTTCTTCAGTAAACACCTAATACCTTGAATCCAGATCTAATTTCTTACCTCGTGTGATCCTTGTGGATGCTGCATGAGATGCTAAAGCCAAGCTGAAAAGGGTTGAGATGAGGAGATGATCATAGGCCAGACACAAGTGGTACAGGACCAGACGCACAGTATACCGCCCTCCAGACTCCATCTTGAGAATCGTTAGCAATTGCTGTGAAAACAGATATTTTTAAAACAAAGAAAGTCAAGTTCAATTAACTGCCTTTTACACATTAAAAGGCCCACTTTATGGTAAAAAGGTCAGCATCATGTCAAGTTTAACTCTCTGTTGTCTTTGGCAAAGAAAGCTTCTAATCCATCATATAATCTTTGGATTAATTGCCAAGATAATCAGCGTTTTGATCAACAAATTATGATTAATTTTATCAGAAGCTTTCTTATAATCCAGTCAACAGGAATTAACTCAAAGCACATACCGACTGAACTGACGTATTAAACTTTTAGAGTTTAATACGCCAGTTTTCCCTCTCAGTTTTGCGATCAATTCAGCAAGCTGTAAGCTGTGACGAAGTTGTCTTCTTTGTGCTGAGAACCCACGCTCCCGCATATATTTATCTGATAAAACCAACAATGCATAATGAGAAACATGATTTTTTTTTGTCGCCCAAAGTCCAATGTGGAGTATTTAGAAATAAGGAATTCCCCGATTTCTAAATGTGGTACTCCACATTTAGAAATAAGGAATTCCCGATTTCTAAATGTGGAGTACCACATTCAGAAATAAGGAATTCCCGATTTCTAAATGTGGAGTACCACATTCAGAAATAAGGAATTTCCCGATTTCTAAATGTGGAGTACCACATTCAGAAATAAGGAATTTCCCGATTTCTAAATGTGGAGTACCACATTCAGAAATAAGGAATTCCCGATTTCTAAATGTGGAGTACCACATTCAGAAATAAGGAATTCCCGATTTCTAAATGTGGAGTACCACATTTAGAAATGGGGAATTTGGGCGATAGAAGAAAACGTTACCTTTGATCGTACCATTATTGAAAATAGGCAATTCCACATTTAGAAATAAATGTCTTTGACTCTACCATTGAAGAGGATAGGTAATAACACATTATTTGTTTTTCCTTCATTGGTCCAGTATGAGCCACCGCAAACAGGAATGTCGAAAAGTGAATGAGTGGAATGCAATAATATAAAGTTAATCGTAAGACAATGCCTGACATACAGTTTAAGATTTTGGCATAGCTATTTCTACAACTTACCTTATTCATCCAGTTCTCAAAATGTCACATCCAGGATTATTGTAACCGTTTCTAGACTTTACACCAATGTACCTAGGATCCAGTCTGATCTGGTCTAAACATTTGCTTATCAAAAAACAAACAAATTTGAATTGAAAAAAAAAACAAGTTCAAAGGTTTGTTAAGCATATTTGAGATATGGCAGACACAATAGGTGGAGGCTGCTATTTGAATTGGGTAAATACAGCAAACTTAACCAAAATCAAACAGCACCCTCTTATTGTGTCGGCTCATAGATTTGTTTGAAAAACAATTAGACAACCACTGGCTGAATATATTAACTGACATCTCTTCAAAGATATGGCTCCAATCAAACTGTTTCAATCGAGAAATCACACTCATTTCAACTAAAAATCAACTGGCATTCAGAACAGCAACAAACAAAAACACACAAAGATTGGACAATAAAACTCATTTATGACTTGCAATGGTTTATTTTAAGAGAGCTTAGTTCATTTCACATGAAAAATTGGTTATGACTCTGCAGAGAACAACTTTGGCAATAAATAATAACAAGTGAGTTTAAAACACTTAAATTAATATATCTGCTAAAAAGTAGCATTTGATATCACTGCACTGCAAGCCAATTCATGTTTATTATTTCTCTAAATGAAAAATGACTACCCAAGCTTATAATTGTCCTCTGTATGCTATGCTTTCTAGACTACCCCGCCATAAAAAATCGTTGCCCCCCCCCCCCCCTTCACGGTCACCCCCTCCTATAAATGTTTTAGTCTTCAAGTGACCATGGTTAACGGGTTTAACAGAAATTGGGCACCGCAACTGTAACATTTAGGCCCCCCCCCCACATCCTTGTATACTAGGTCCCTAATTAACTTTGACCTTTGCCCAAGCTCATTAGCGATATAGCTCTCCATTAAGGTGTTTGTTAGGATGCCTCAATTTACATTTTTCTGTCACTTATTTGTCCACTCACCATGATCATGGATTTTATAGTTTTCAGTTAGTGAACTGCTTTTTATTGTTTGTTGAAGGCACTTTGTAAATTAATAAACATACATTTTTTCCCAGAGTAAATTCATGTGTTGCGTTATCCTTTCTCTTAAATTTGCTGCAAATCTGGATTTGCTTTAAAGTTGCAAAATTTTTGGATTGACAAAATTAATTAAAAATGTAAGCGAAACCCTTTACAATTAGGTTAATTTTTACTGAAAATGAAATTTCCTTAACTTGCTCAAACAAAGCCCCGATACCTCGGGGTCCCCTGAAGCACGTTTACACTCATCAGATGTTACTTTCAGAGGCAATTTTTTTCCAAAATAATTATAAATCTTTAGGTAAAATCTTGCAATTTTTGCCTTTTTGAATAATGAATTAAAGTCATTATGCATCAAAAGCGTTTCTGAGTATTTTTGAAAAAAGTTAAGCTTTGGCCAAAACACAATGAAAATGTAAGGTTTAGATAAGATAAGATTGAACTTTATTATCTCTCAGGAGGGAAATTAAAATGGCCTTGACAAAAAGTGGGTTATATAAACATACAATCATTAATTAAAAAGATGTAAAAATGCAATGTAGTTACCACAAACTTATAAATCCAATAAATACAGGTAAAAAACAAACTACTACATATAATACACATATTACATTACATTAATGAGGGATCAGGGTCAGCCACACGGCAGTTCATCGTTCCAGTTGCTCATTGTACCATTTGATAGCTGCTGGAACGAATGAACTGCCGTATTGCCGTGTCCTGATCCTTCGTTGTAAAAAGCGATTCCTTCTGGAGTTCGTTTGGAAGTCGGCATTCAATGGGTGATGTGAGTCGGAAAGAACCGTCTTAATTTTATTGCACATAAGAGACCTGTATAATGCCTCTGGAGACTCTTGTTGTAAACCAATAGCTTTACTGGCTTGCTTAACTATTCTGTCTAGCTTAATCCGATCCTGGCACCTCATATTTCCGTAAAAACAAACAAGACAAAATGTGAGAATACTCTGTACCATGGACTTGTAAAACAGTTGTAAAATAGTTTTATCAACGTGAAAAGACTTGAGTTTGCGCAGAAAAAACAAACGTTGTTGCAGCTTGTTATATTTTGATTTGGTACATGAAATTGATGACCAACTGAAATTTGACGCATGTATGCGTCAAATTTCAGTTGGTCTTCAATTTCAGTTCCCAAGTATTTGTAAACAGACACTGCATGCTTCCACACATTTGCCTTTAATATTAGCTGGTGTAATTGGAGATTTCTTTTTCCTAAAATCAATCACCATCTCTTTGGTTTTGTTGATATTGATTTCTAGATAGTTATCATCACACCACTGAGTAAATTGTGCCACCTCACCAGTGAAACAATCTAGAGATTCTTGTTTGTCATTTAGAATGTAAGGTTAAGAAGATGAGTCGTTATAAATGTTCAAACAAGGGGTTCTTAATAGACATTCTTAAAATGGCCTGTTCTTTTTAGTCAAAGAACAAATGATTTCCAAAGGCATATCCACAGACGGCCATCAGAGTCAGAGCCAGAGTTCCCGGTGCACCGAATTTCATGTGTAGGCTAGCTGCCCCGCTCGTGGTAGGTTTCAATTCTGAAAAATGAGCAAAAGTAATGCACACATGAATATGTTGCATAAAACTGGAAGATGGACTTTATTCATTAGCTGCTCATCAAGGAATGCTTGAGACACAGCCAAAGTGAACAATTAAAGGGGGTGAAGTTCCATTTCCTGCTGGGTGCCTTAGCCAATCAGAAGGAAGTGACCATGGTAACTGGGTCACTGCCCAGCTGACCAGCTGTACAGGCTAAAAGTGAGCATGTGCTAGCCACATGAGCATGGGGAAAGCACATGAGGCAAGCATAAGGGGAAAGACTATTTTTTTTAGGGGGGGGGGGGAATTTTCTAGAACTTTCTCTAGGCTCTCGGAGGGGCCCTACACATGCACCCCGCTCTTGGAGCTAAAAACAAATACATGTAAAAACAAGTCAGGTGTGTTTACAAACACAAATGCCCCGCAACCGTGACTGTTTCCATGACATAACACCACTCTAACATCAAATTACATGTACCTTGGTCAAATGGAACGTTCATTGACAGCATTAGTGTCTTCTGTAGGTTTTATATGAATTAATCCCTAATCCCTATGATCTCAGAATAAATACAAGATTTCTATTGTTTTAGCCACTGTGACCTTGACCCTTGACCTTTCGACCCCCAATGCGATAGGCTCCTTAGGATTGCCAAGGACAATCCACAAACCAAATTTGAAGTTCATATGTAAAGTATATCTCAAGTTATCGCGCTGACAAAATTTCTTTTGTTTTTGCCACTGTGACCTTGACCCTTGACCTTTTGGCCCCAAATGCAAAAGGCTTCTTAGGATTGCCAAGGACAATCCACAAACCAAATTTGAAGTTCATATGTAAAGTATATCTCAAGTTATCGCGCTGACAAAATTTCTATTGTTTCAGCCACTGTGACCTTGACCCTTGACCTTTCGGCCCCAAATGCAATAGGCTTCTTAGGATTACCAAGAACAATACACAAACCAAATTTGAAGTTCATATGTAAAGTATTTCTCAAGTTATCGCGCTGACAAAATTTCTTTTGTTTTAGTCACTGTGACCTTGACCCTTGACCTTTTGGCCCGTAATGTAAAAGGCTTCTTAGAATTGCCAAGGACAATCCACAAACCAAATTTGAAGTTCATATGTTAAGTATTTCTCAAGTTATCGCGCTGACAAAATTTCTATTGTTTCAGCCACTGTGACCTTGACCCTTGACCTTTCGGCCCCAAATGCAAAAGGCTTCTTAGGATTACCAAGGACAATCCACAAACCAAATTTGAAGTTCATATGTTAAGTATTTCTCAAGTTATCGCGCTGACAAGATTTGTCCGGACACACACACCCACACACCCACCCACCCACACACACACCCACACACCCACCCACCCACCCACCCACGGAAGGACAAGGCGGAAACAGTATGCCCCTTCGGCTTCGCCGCGGGGCATAAAAAAACATCAGCCACATTTATTAAGATTGAAGCCTGTTTGTATCTACATTTCCTTTTCTTTTTAATACTAACCACCACAAATCAGCCCAAACTTGATTTTTATGAATTAAAGACTGTTCTGTTTGGTGCACAAATGTAAGTTAATCACATGGGGCTTAGTTTCCCAATATTTATTACAAAAAAATATTGTGGTATTGGGTGGATTCAGAAAGGCAGAGCTAAAAGACATTGGGAGGGTTGGTCGACATAGGGTAAACAGTTTTCTAATGCACTACTTTTTTAGGGGGGAAAGGGGTTGAGAAGGGGGGGAGGGGGGGGGGGGTGGGGAGAGGAGAGGAGGCGAGGGGAGCGCCAAATTGATAACTGACCTGGAGTGATAATTGTCAGCTCTGCTTCCTCTGTGCTAGTTCCACGGTTGTTACCAGCGATGCATGTGTAGGTTCCAGCATCTTCCGAAGTAACGCTGTAGATCCTAAATGCCAGAGAATGAACATTCTCTCGCTGAGAAGGGTTCTGAAACATTGAAGGATGCAGATGTTTAGTTTTCGGTGCATGGGAACATAGGATAAGGTTTGATGAACAGGTTTAGACAATCTTATGTTGTTTGTTTGTTTGTTTGTTTTAATTTCCATTCATACAAAAAAGTTGATAAAAGAAATGATAGAAAATGTTGTATCAAGAGAAGAATAACGATATGAATGGGGGTGACATCTGAGAGAAAGACAATGCCTTCTGCCTTCTGTAGAGGAGCACCCAAGACTGCTGTCAAATTACTGAGAAAGTAAATAATAGCAATGAAAGAGATACAATCTATTTCAGTTGCATAACTGTACAGGATGTGGATTTGAGTTCATACTGGTTATGTAATTAAAAAAACACCAGAAATAGCCAGACAGCAGTAATGTTCAACATACACAGGATTTATAAGGCTTCCCTAATTTCTGGTATTTAGCAAACAAATTGTGGCTACTTCAATAAAATATTTACATGATACTACATTAAGTTTGCTATCATGACAATATTCAATAACAATATTTATTATTCTTTCATCAGCATCACGTGAATCAGACACATAAATTTGAAGAAACACGTGGAAAAATAAGGAAGCCTTTAAAATGACTATTAAACAAGAATTAATTTATATTTTGTCAGTCATTTTAAGTGCTACCTTACTTTTCCATGTGTTTTTGCCTGACAAACATGGCACCCGAACACTTACAGTTAATTTAAAGAAGACAGATGGTTTTCGAAATTACAATGTTAAAATTCTCTTCACTTACAAGTATGTCTATCTCGCCTTGAATGGCACTAAGCTCATAGGTATCGCCTGACTGGTCTGTTTTCCACCAGTGAATAGCTGGTTCAGTTGAGCTCATGACTTGGCAATCAAATGTGACGATGCTACCAACGATAACCTCCTTGTTTTCCATGGCAATCATGAAGGGTCGAGAGGCTTTTTTGTTTGGAAAAAAAACACAACATATATTAGGCCTATATACATGACAAGAAGGCACAATGAGTGTAAAATAAAATTATGTTAGGGAAATCAGCGTACACAATCTAATCAAACTTTTAACAACCTGATTTTTTTCATGTAAAATTCTAAGATTTTAGTGAGATTTCATCTAAAAGTATTTCATCTGTTTAAGCCACTGTCTATGTCTAATCTTGTTAGTTTTGCTCATGTATTGAAGATATAAAACAAGTTCTAGTTATCAACATTATCATTCATTTCATTTGCTATTTATTTGACAGACTGACCTTTGTTTACAGTCAGCAATGAACTCTCACTGCTGGTTCCCAGGTCGTTACCAGAGATGCATATGTAGGATCCGGCATCTTTCAAAGTTACTCTGTAGATCCTCAACGTCTGAGAGTAAACATTCTCTTGCGAAGGAGTGTTCTGCAGCGTTGAAGGATAGAGACTTTTAGTTTTTGGTGCATGGGGAAATCTGATGAGGTTTGATGAACAGGTTTAGACAATCTTAAATTGAAATACAGGATATGGATTTGAGTAATGCAAAACAAAAACCCAGAAACTATCCTGATCAGAGAGCTTTTAAATAAACAGCTGCAACAGGACACGAAAGCCCCAAAAAATGTTCCCAAAATGTTCTTGTGTTTTTGGTTAGTCAAATATTACATTGCTTTACGCTGTGTTAGGTTGGACATCCTATTTAGTATCAGTATTTGGTTTAATGTCTGCAGGATTAAGGTTTGTTAAAATCAAACACACATCTATGATTAAAGACATACTGGTTTATGTCATTACCACTGTTATTAACTGTTTGCATGGCATGGGAACAGCGGTGGCAGAACACTTTTCAAACTTGGGGGCATCACCAAAAAGGGGCACTTGTTCAGAAAAAAGGCACCTTCCGTTACCCAAACAAAACTAACTAACAACATTGATATACACTTTAAAATGTTTGTGTTGAATTTTTGGAAAATTTTTATTCCCACACTAAAAAACTACAGTGTAGGCCAATTCTAGAAATAGTCTCAATATAGCAGTATTGTTGTCAAATAGGTAATTTTTCATTTGAGAGAGCCCTTTGGCAGTTATATCTCTGGGTCCGCCCTTGAATTTGACTATTTAGGCCTATGCAAATTAAGGGACCACTTTTATCCTGAGAAGGGCACTGTTGTTTTTGATGGCCAGTTCAGTGACCATTTTATTCGTGTGAGTCGCGGCAAGTTTTCCCATCTTGAGAGGAGCACAGGCCGGGGCACTAATTGTGCTTTTGAGGGGCAGTTTTCCCATCTCGATAAGTTATCGTGAGAGGAGCACTATGGTTTTGATGGCCAATTTCCCATCTCGAGGGGTGCAATTTTATTATTGCGAGAGGGGTATTTATCCTTTTGAGAGATAGTTTTCCATCTCGAGAAGGTTCACAATCTTGTTAATGCACAAGGGTATTTGTGTTTTTAAGGGGCACTTTGCATTACAAAACAGGAGACAATTTTTAAGCGATCATAATGCTTTCATGTGTGCTTTTGAGGGGCAGTTTCGTTTTCATCTCAAGGAGGCACAATTATGACCGCGAGAGGGGCACTTTTGTTGGTCGTGGAAAATCTGAGGGGGGGGGGGGCAAGTAAGTCCCCTCCCCCTCCAGTTCCACCGCCCGTGGATGGAAAAAGTGTTTGTGGAAACTTTGTTACAAGATCATACTCTAAATATAACTCAATACATACAACGAGTATGTCCATCTTATCTGGAAAGGCTCTGAGTTCACGATCACTGCCTGACTCGTCTGTTTTCCACCACTCAAAACTTGGCGCTGTTGAGCTCATGACTTGACAATCAAACGTGACTGTGCTGCCCACGCTGACCTCCTGGTTGTTCATGTCAATCATGAAGGGTCGAGAGTCTATTTTGTTTGAAAAACAAAAACATATTTTCGGCTTATATGAATGACAAGAAAGCACAATGAGTATGAAGTAAATTCATGTTATTGAAATCAGCGAACACAATTTTGTCAGGCTTTTAACAGCCTGATTTATTGGCTGTTTCAGCAAACATGCCAAAACAGTTGTTTCATTAATTTTTTTTTTTTCTATTTCAGTCAATTTTGCCCATAGCATTTGTACACATTTTTTGTTCCCGGAACTTTGGGCACTAAAATCAATCTGATAGCCTTTATACCTGGCACACACTTAGACCACCACCCAAAGATGTGCGCCAAACATTGACGCCATCATGACGTCATGAGGAGTCACGTGACGTCACATTAAAAGTGTATATTTTGTATGCCTATATCTACAGAACTACAGGTCCGATTTGGATGAACGTTGGTATGTACCTAGACCGGGATGCATTATAGATGAAAATTGAGGTGACGTCATGACGACCTCATCATGGGTCACGTGACGTCAGGTCAAAGATTAATAGATATAATCTTTGAAAATCAATACAAAATCACTGATGAGAGACCTAAACATGAATTTTGCGTCTATTGATTGAATAATCCAGGGTCTTTCATTTTTTAAAAAATAATTACGTGCAATATCATGTGACCCTAATTCCTTCCGGCTAAAACTGGAAGTGCATTGTCATTTAAAATTGGTAAAAGATCTGGCTAAGTTGTTCTTTACAAAAGCATTAGCAGTGACGTCATAAAATGCTAGAGCACCCTTGAGTACGTGGCAGGTGGAAACAGTTTAAAATGAGTAATCAGTTGATGAGTTTGGCGAAGTTTGCTGGAATCATATAATTGATGTACAGTATACAACCAGCTTCACGCTAACAACAAGTTGAGGGGGGGGGGGGGGGGAGACTGATGACGTTACCAGACTGAAAGTTACAATGAAAATCATCTTATGAAATGTGACGTCACATTAAAGGTGCATTTTCATAAGCCTATATCTACGGAACTATTGGCACTGATCACTATGCAACTTTCTACTGATCTATGTCCCATCAGTCCATAACATGACATTAAAAAAACAACATATTGCCGAAACAGCCATGAATCTAATTTTATTTATTTGTTTATTTATTTGAAAGACTGACCTTCATTGACGCTCAGCAATGAACTCTCACTGCTGGTTCCCAGGTTGTTACTAGCGGTGCATGTGTAGGATCCAGCATCTTCCAAACTTAAGCTGTAGATCCTCAACGTCTGAGAATAAACATCCTCTTGCAAAGGAGTGTTCTGAAAGGTTGAAGGATGGAGACTTTTAGTTTTTGGTGCATGGGGAAATCTGATGAGGTTTGATGAACCATGTGTTTTATTTCTCCATGGATGAACAGGTTTAGGCAAACTTAAATTGAAGTACAGGATATGGATTTGATGTAAAAAAAAAACCCAGAATACGTCCTGAACAGAGAACTTTTAAAGAGCTGCAACAGGACAAAAAGTCCAAAGAAATGTTCCCAAAATGTTCTTGTGTTTTTGGTTAGTCAAATATTACATTGCTTTACGCTGTGTTAGGTTGGACATCCTATTTAGAGCAGTAGTTGGTTTAATGTCTGCAGGATTTGTTAATCAAACACACAAATATGATTAAAGACATACTGGTTTATGTCATTACCACTGCACTGTTTACTGTAACTAAGTCTTTGCGTGGGATGGGAAAGTGTTTGTGGAAACTTTGTTGTTTCAAGATCACACTCTAAATAGAACTCAATACATACAACGAGTATGTCCATCTTATCTGGAATGGCTCTGAGTTCACGATCACAGCCTGACTCTTCTATTTTCCACCACTCAAAACTTGGCGCTGTTGAGCTCATGACTTGACAATCAAACGTGACTGTGCTACCAATGCTGACCTCCTGGTTGTTCATGTCAATCATGAAGGGTCGAGAGACTATTTTGTTAGAAAAACAAAAACATATGTTAAGCCTATATGAATGACAAGAAAGCACAATGAGTATGAAGTAAAATCATCGAGCATGGAAGTTCGTTTCCTGTCCCATTATTATATCAATTAAATAAAAGAAGTAAAATCATGTTTGGGAAATCGGTGCAGTTTTGCTCATCTAGTGAAGATATAAAACAAATTCCAGTTTTCATTCATTTTATTTTATTTTGTTTATCTATTTGACAGACTGACCTTCATGGACAGTCAGCAATGCACTCTCACTGCTGGTTCCCAGGTTGTTACCAGCGGTGCATTTGTAGGATCCAGCATCTTCCAAAATTACTCCGTAGATCCTCAGCATCTGAGTATAAACATTCTCTTGCAAAGGAGTGTTCTGAAACGTTAAAGGATGGAGACTTTTAGTTTTTGGTGCATGGGGAAATCTGCAGGGGCGGATCCAGGGGGGGGGGGCCAAAGGGGGCCATGGCCCCCCCCCAAAAACGAAACCAATTTTTTTTTTTGTATGTGACATCGCAACAAAGGCAGGCAATGAGTACACCACCATCTTTTCCTCAAAAAAAACATTGGTTAAAGTGGTCAGAAATTGCCTCAGATCGCACCACAGAGCATCTAGAATCCAAAAAATTTTCGGGGCCCTTAAGCGGGCCCTGAACCCCACGCCGTAATTTTTTTGACCCACTTTTTGGGGGGACAATTGTGTTCTGGATCCGCCCTTGGAAATCTGATGAGGTTTGATAAACAGGTTTGGACTATATCTTATATTGAAATACAGGATATGGATGGAGTATAAATGTAAAAAAAAACACAGAAAATATCGTGTTTAGAGAACTTTTAAACAGCTACAACAGGAAAATAACGGTCAACATAAAGGATTTCTAATGTTCCCAAATTTTCTTGCGTTTTTGCTTAGTTGAATATTACATTGCTCTACACTGTGTTAGGTTGGACATCCTATTTAGTAGCAGTAGTTGGGTTAATGTCTGCAGGACTAAGGTTTGTTAATCAAACACACAAATATGATAAGAGGCATACAGACTACACTGCATTATTTACTGTTTGTAACTCTTTGCATGGGATGGGAATGTATTTGTGGAAACTATAACTCAATACATACATGTACAATGATGTCTATCTTATCTGGAATGGCTCCGAGTTCATGCTCTTTGCCTGATGAATTGTCGGCTTTCCACCACTCAAAAGTTGGCGCTGTTAAGCTCATGACTTGACAGTCAAATGTGACGGTGCTACCAAGGCTGACCTCCTGATCAACCATGTCAGAAATTACAGGACGAGTGGCTATTTTGTCTGAAAAACAAATGCATGCAATACATTAGTGACAAAAAAAAGAGACAAAAAGAACATTGATTTTGAGGTCACGATTGGTTCAAGCTTTGAAATTCACTTTTATGAGTCAACTTCAGGGAGACAGGCTGGTATATAGTGCTCCTTTCTGCCACCTCTATAGCCGGGCTCAACATGTGGATAAGGTTTTCTTCAATAAACATAACACAGCTGGCTTTTACCTGGTGTGTCCATTGGGGATGCTGCATCAGATCCAATATACAAGCTGACGAGGCTTAAGATGAGGAGGCCATGCAGGACCAGACGTTTATACTGCCCTCTAGAGTCCATCTTGAGAATGGTTAGTAATGGCTGTGAAAAAAAAAAGAATTAGAAAACAAAGATTTAAACGACAATACGGCATTATAAAGAGAGATGTTAATACATTTTGATTTTGCTCTATGATTATTAGACTACTAAGATGGTTGTAAAGCCACAAATTTGAGAAAAGAATCCAGAGTTTGGAAAATGTTAGAATTATTTTTAAGCAACGTAACGTACGTGTGATGAAACCAATTCACACGAGCTAAACAATCTCCCTGTCCTTATTGTGGTACAAATTTGCACACAATATTGCTGTGCAACAGAGCCTTTACAAACATAAACATGTCGTGGGGTTTTACATGACGTCTACTGTTAGAGCTGAACATATCATATGCCAGATTTACCTCTCAGTTGTTTCGATCAATTCAGCGATTCACTGGTTGCGATGTCTTTCAAGTTGTCTTCTTTATCTATAAATGCTGAAAACCCACTCTTCTGCCTGTATTTAAAACGACCAGTACTTGACCATTCGGTCATACAGTGAAGTAATACTGCCACGTTTAGAATTAATGAGAAATTCCCGTGGTAATATAAATACTTCCTGGAACTTCAATTCCCCAAAATTGTGCAATGTCGTCCCATTAGGATGCCAGTTTTCCCGAGTTCCTGACATACATGCACATGTACATTGTAGTAATTGCATGATGTATCCGGATTTCCCATCGGGAAAGTCCCTCCGCACGCAATAGCGCGCGGTGTCGACATGTCATAGAGAAAACCCTCTCACAACAAACACACGCGAAAGTATTGCTCAATGAGGGAAAGTCCCTCCGCACGCAATAGCGCGCGGTGTCATAGAGAAAACTCTCTCACAACAAACACACCACACGCAACGGCGGTGTCCTATAATATCGGGACTCCCACACTTTATAACCCTATGATAACTTAAGGGTATAGGAAGTGTATCCGAAAATGACCAGACATTTCAAAACCTTTCAGGGGATTTGAAAAATGGAACCAAAAAAATTCAACCAAATTACAGTACAGTTGTAATGCATGCATAGTTGGACCTTTCAAAACCTGTTGATTTTTTTTTTTAAATTCTTTGACAACTGCACTGGATATAATTCCAACCAAATTTGAAGTACCGGTACCAAAAAAAGTTTGTCTAGCTTGTTTGAGAATCAAAAAGACCAACCACTGGTTGACACAGCAGGGCCGAACAGTTTCTACAGGGCCTTGGAGTTGATGTTTTTGAAGTTTAAATTGAATTATTGTACAGTCTTAGGTCAAAATTAGCGTAAAACATGAAGCAAGGTGCTACATTTGCAAGTTGTATACAACACTGATTTGCAAACAATGTAAACCAAGCCTGAATAAATCCCCGTCATGGTAGGTCATTGATCACTTGTCATTGACTTATTTGACCTAACCCCACCAACCTTCCCTACTTCCAAATGACTCCTCCCACTATCTAAAATTCCTGAAACCAATCCCAACATCATCATCATCATTCTCCGTATCCATCATGGGGGCGTTGAGCCGCCCAGACCAAGCGATCAGATGCTGACTGCCACAGCTGTTGTGCTCGTGTCTTGTGGTCAACTTCTAGCTGGCACACCCAGGTGGTGCGAGGTCGGCTCCTGGGTCTCTTCCAGGCACTGTCAGGCCAATCCCAAAACTCTAAAGGGAGACGTCAAAATGGTTAATGTTACCCGTCTCCCAAACGTACGATTAATAACTACAAAATGTGTCCATATAGAGTTGTAATTATTTCAAGAATTATTTCAAGAACTTGTCTTCTTAGTTCAGTTCTCAAAATTTCACATCCATGATCACTTTAACCATTTCTGGACTTTACCCCAAGTATCTAGGGCTGGAACCAGTCTAATCAGGTATGAACATTGGTTTATCAAAATAAAATTGAAGTACCAGAAAAAAAAGTCATAGTTTAAAGTTATGTTAATTAATCAATGATTATCATTTAGCTTCATAAATATTTCTAGAACTTACCTTCTTTAATAGTTGTTTTTAAACTGTCACATTCAGGATTATTTTAAGCATTTCTGGAATTACCCCAATGTATATCTCCTCTTATCTGGTCTAAACTACATTGGTTTATTCACACACAAAAACTGAAGTACCAAAAATAAAAAAAGGTCAAAGTCATAGACCATTCATTGGTTGAACATTAACTAACAGAATGTGAGAGGAAGACCTACTCAAAGATATGGCTTTCATCAATAAGTCAAGAAATCACTTCCATTTCAACTACATTCCTACTGACATGAAAAAAACCACTAGGATTAGACAATAAAGCAAAGGTATGAAAACTCAATCATCATTTCTAATGGTTTATTTTAAGCAAGCTTACATGCACAAACATTCACACAGATTATTGGCAACTAATGACTCTGGAGAGACCAACTAAAAATATCAGATAACTGAGTTGAAATCCTTGAAATTAATACTTCTGCTAAAAAGTAGGATTGATATTATTGCTGCACTGCAAGCCAGTTCATGTTGAATATTTCTCTAAAAGCAAAATGACTACCAAAGCTTATAACTGTCAGTTATCTCAACGATTCAATACATCTTTATTGTACTTTAGACCTGCTCTGCATTGCTTTTAAGACTAATCAGTATTAGTTGTTTCACCTGTGTGCATGTTAATGTAGTTTTCCTATTTATAATATAACTTGTTTTTGCAATCAGACAGCATGTTCATTCAAGTTCGTAAGATTTCAGAGACTTGGGTATGAATATGGTTTCTAAATTGTAATCAGCACTTTCAATTTGCTGCAAAGATGTCCAAAAGTCACTGAAACGCATTTAAACTAAAAAAAGTGGGAAGATGTGTCTTTTGAGGGAACTATTTTCTCAAAAAAATGGCTGGGGGGGGGGGATTGGCCAAAAAAATTGCCAAAATCTTCCGAATTTTGCTTGTTTGAATATGTAATTATGGTCCTCATGCAACAAAAGGCATTTCTAAGTATTTTGGAGAAAAAAAATTGCCAAAATTCGTTAAAAATGTAAGGCTTTACTTTACCCCGTGCAATTTTTTTCCCATTTTTTACTGAAAAAATCAATTCCTTGAAATTTGCTGTGAAGATGACATATCTGTTTAAATTTGAACATTTGACAGATGTGCCTTTCAAACTATACTACTTAATAATGATGAACGTAATCACATGTAAAATGCACAAATTGCATAAAAATGTAAAAATGCACATAACAACAAATACAATATTACAGTATAACTACAGTTCCACATTGAAGTTTTACATTTACAAAATGATTTAAAAAAAAAAACTAGAAAATTATCATAACTTGTCAAAAAGGGGTACTTAGACAATTTGGAAAATCCTGGACCTTTTAGTCAAAGAACATTTGATTTCCCAAGGCATATCCACAAACCGCCATCAGAATCAGTGCCAGAGGTCCCGGTGCGCCGAATTTCATGCACCCCCCTCTTCGAGGAGGGGGCTTCTTGGGCGCTAGGAAATAGAAATGCAAGTGAATAAATTAACATCTTAAAGGGAATATACAACATTTGCAAACATCGAAAAATAAAACTGCCAAGTTTTAAGAAGTACTTTACTAGGATGTTGGTAAATGACAGTATAAAGCATCCTGTAAAATTATGGCACTTGTTGTGAAGTCATTTTCAAGAAAATAGTATTTTTGTATACATTTCCAACGGTGGTCAGCCGACCACCTTTGGAAAAACCTAACTATTTATCAACTACTGATCCAAATTTACCATTTTTTAGTCCAAATTTTGTATGCTATTGGTTATATGTTAATGAACGGGTGCAGGCAGGCTAGACTAGTTCCCTTACCTTACAATTTTCTGGCATCTATACATATTGATCTATTTCATCTTTAATGGAGTCGGGGAACCAGACAGCTTGAACATTTTTGTTTTTCTTGGTTTTTCCAGCATTTTCAAACACAAAACTTCAAACATGTTACTGTAACAATATTTGATCTATTATACTAACCCCTCAAATAGTTCATTTTTTGAAAATTACAGCAAAAACCAATGATGTACATTCCCTTTAACACAATCATTCTGATACAAAACAGGTGTTTTGTTATCTAAATTTACCTTTCCTTAACCCTAACCACCACAAATTCATCCAAACTTAATCTTTATGAATTCAAGACTGTCCGGCCTGGTTCACAAATTTAATGTTATTAAATGGGGCTTTAATAATTTCCTTTAATATTTTTATTCAGTACAACAAATACTTTGGTAGTGGGTGGATTCAGGAAGGCAGATAAACAAATACCTTTGGAGGATTGACAGACGGACAGCCAACAATTTTCTGATGTAATACATTGTGTGTGTGAGGATGTGCATGTTTATGGTGTAAATCGAGGACACACATGTGTAACATCATGGATGAATTGAGCACAGGAACAAACGTGTACAAAACCAATGAAAGCTGTTGCCAAAAATGTTAAGTATAAACAAAAGAAATGGGAAGAGGAACAATTAATAGAAATCCTTGATTTACACCATTAACAAACCTGTCTGTGTACAGGTGATCAGTGTTGAAGTCGAGTACTTTTTTTTCAGAGTACCGAGTACTACCGAGGGCTTAGGTTGCCGAGTACAAGTACATGGATTGGCCAAATTGATAACTGACCTGAAGTAACTTCCAGCTCTGCCATCTTTGCGTCGCTTCCAAAGTCGTTCTCAGCGCGGCACATGTAGTTTCCAGCATCATACCAAGTTACGCTGAAGATCATCAACGTCTCAGAATGAAAATCTGCTTGCACAGCATTCTGAAAAGAAAGATTTGATCGACACCGTGGACGTACTATTGTCCCTCTTTTGTTTGTACCAGTACGGAAGGTACCAAAGTTCCAGCGCTCCACTCAGTAGAGCTACATGTAGGTCTACATTGATTGCTGAGCAGTGTCTCAGAATGTATGCAATCATTCATCACATGTAGCTAGGATTGTTCCATAGCGTGAGTGCCAGGCTAATACAAAACGCGATTTCAAAATGAACATACAGTAATACATGGCTTCATCACTTCCCAAAAAAACTTTCTGAACTAGAGCGCGCTGTGTAAAACCACTTTTTAAAACTGGGTAAAGGCCTGCAAATGCAAACAAGCTAATTTATTTGTTACAGGGCATTATATTCCTTCAAAATTCGTTCGGAAAAGAAATAAAAGTTTTTGAAAAAGAATTTATGTACCAACTTTAAAGATTTGCACGATACTGCATTATGCTTGCCCCACTGAAAATGCAGTGAATTGTCATCAGTACGTGTAGCAGGTTCAGTTGATCAGATACAAACATTTACAGATAGACGTTTTCCACAATTCAACATAATAATATTGTATATGTCATACTTACAACTCGTATTTCAATCTTGTTTGATATGGGTACAAGTCTACGATTATCGCTTGATGTTGTTTTCCACCACTCAAAAGTTGTTGGAGTCGTACTCTGGACTTGACAATCAAACGTGGCGGTGGTACCAATGCGAACCTTCTGCTTGTCCATGGAAGAAATGATGGGTTCAGTGGCTATTTCATTTGAAAAACAAAAACATGCAACACATAGGTGACAACGAGCCAAACAAGGAACATTTATGTAACAAAGGTAGTGTGATTTCAAGCTTGAACTTTTATATCACAATGTATATCAATACAGCTGGATGTGCATGTTTATGGTGTAAATCGAGGACACACATGTGTAACATCGAGGATGAATTGAGGACAGGAACAAACGTGTACAAAACCAATGAGAGCTGTTGCCAAAAATGTTCAAGTATAAACAAAAGAAAAGGGAAGAGGAACAATTAACCCTTACCCTACTAGACCCTCCAACGCATGCCAATATGTGCCTCAAGAAAATCTCCTATGTTTTTTGCATGGCCCTCCAATATCTGCCATGTCATTTCAAGGGTAACTGGACAGGCACTCCAATACATGCCACAGAGAACAACGAGAGTCCTCTGATAACAAAGTGAGTGCCCCCAGCTGGTCACTATCAGGCACCCTCCAGGGCCTCCAACTCCTGCCAATCGGAGCCTTCACTGTTAAATCAAACTATCTGCCAATAAACTGCAGCTGGAGGGCATTGGCATAACCAACTGACATGCAGTAAACTACCCTCAGAGAGTAAGGGTTAATAGAAATCCTTGATTTACACCATTTACAAACCTGTCTGTGTAATATCAGTGTTGTAGTCGAGTACTTTTTTTCAGAGTAACGAGTACTACCGAGTGCTTAAGTTGCGGAGTACAAGTACGAGGATTGGCCAAATTAACAACTAACCTGAAGTAATTACTTCCAGCTCTGCTATCTTTGTGCGGCTTCCAAAGTCGTTCTCAGCGCGGCACATGTAGTTTCCAGCATCTGCCGTATTTACGGTGAAGATCCTCAATGTCTCAAAATAAAAATCTGCTGGCGCAGCATTCTGAAAACAAAGATTTGATCGACACCGTGGACGTACTATTGTCCCTCTTTTGTTTGTACCAGTACGGAAGGTACCACAGTTCCAGCGCTCCACTCAGTAGAGCTACATGTAGGTCTACATTGATTGCTGAGCAGTGTCTCAGAATGTATGCAATCATTCATCACATGTAGCTAGGATTGGTCCATAGCGTGAGTGCCAGGCTAATACAAAACGCGATTTCAAAATGAACATACAGTAATACATGGCTTCATCACTTCCCAAAAAAACTTTCTGAACTAGAGCGCGCTGTGTAAAACCACTTTTTAAAACTGGGTAAAGGCCTACAAATGCAAACAAGCTAATTTATTTGTTACAGTGCATTATATTCCTTCAAAATTCGTTCGGAAAAGAAATAAAAGTTTTTGAAAAAGCATTTATGTACCAACTTTAAAGATTTGCACGATACTGCATTATGCTTGCCCCACTGAAAATACAGTGAATTGTCATCAGTACGTGTAGCAGGTTCAGTTGATCAGATACAAACATTTACTGATAGACAATTTCCACAATTCAACATAATAATATTGTATATGTCATACTTACAACTTGTATGTCAATCTTGTCTGAAATGGTAAGTCTATGATTATTGCTTAATGATGTTTCTGTTTTCCACCACTCAAAAGTTGTTGGAGTCGTACTCTGGACTTGACAATCAAACGTGGCGGTGGTACCAATGCGAACCTTCTGCTTGTCCATGGAAGAAATGATGGGTCGAGTGGCTATTTCATTTGAAAAACAAAAACATGCATCACATAAGTGACTAAGAGCCAAACAAGGAACATTTATGTAACAAAGGTAGTGTGATTTCAAGCTAGAACTTTCATATCACAATGTATATCAATACAGCTCACAGCTGGGCATAGTCTGATGAATCGTTGCAATAAGCAATCATTCACATCACTCACCTACTCTATATGGAGTGACAGTCAGAATGAATTTGCTGCATATGTTTCTTCCATTTGTATTACATGTAGCAGCTTGACAGGAGTAAGTCCCACTGTCGTTTACAACCAGACCAAGGACGGTCAGAATTTTTGCATCAGTACTTATCCTCGTGTCTTTTTGCAGAGGGTTGTCGTCTTTAAACCAGGAGAGGGTTGGTGGTGGGTTACCATCTACTGAGCAACTGAATTCTAAGTTCTCCCCCTGTTTCTTATCGATTGCAGTGACATCTGATGTATGGGCAGATGGCGGTCCTGTAAAAGTTGCAAAACAACAAGAATTTTATAAGATGGAATGTTTGCGTCGGGGTGATATAAAGCCAGCCGATCCCGTTAGCTCGGTGGTCGAGTGGTAAGACATCTGCACTAGAAAGCAGGAGGTCGTGGGTTCGAGTCCCACCCGAGTGATTTTTTCCAACTTTCACTCGGGAGGTAACACACTGAGTATACAGTGTTCAAACGTCGGTGAAGGGCAAAACCTAAACAAGAATTTTGTTCTCACCCTGCTGATTCAAAGAATCTAACGAGGCAGATGACCACTCTTAGTCAGGTTGCATACGGTTGGAATCATGACCGACTGGTCCAAGGCACCAAACTTGTCAGATACAAGTAGATTCTTATAGCCCCAGAGAAGATATTTAGAAGGGGTGACACCTGGAATTCTTTTGCATAAAGCGTTAATCCCTGTCGTGTAATATATTTATTCCCATATTTGGGTAGAATTTTATTTTTGAAAAGTATATTTTGGGGATTTTACTTACATATCCTTACGTAAATATTATTTTCTAAAGAATATCGGAGACTTGAAGATTATGAGGACATAATAAAGATCCAAAATGGCGTATACCCTAAAGTTGAGCGCATTTCCTTTTCCCTCAGATATCATCAACTAGTATTGCCAAACCTCAGTATTGATGAACCTCAAATTCACAAGTTACTTAATAACACAGCTATCCTAACAAAAATGAATGGGAAATCATGTGAAAAATTATATTATCTTGATATTTAGCCCACAAAAACAAAAAGGGGGAAAATGAGGTGTCCGTAAATTGGGCTATACATTATGTGAAGCCTGACGTGGGGGACTTGATCAAGCTCCCCGATTTTGTGTTCTGGGCTAAATATCGCAATGTTATCATTGTCCACATGATTTTCCATGAAGTCTTTATCGAGTTACTGTGCCAGTAAGTAACTTGATGAATGTGAAGCTCATCAATACTATTCGGCAAGACTACTTGATGATATCTGGAGACAAGGTTAATGAGCGCAACTTTAGAGTATAATAGTATCCATTTTGAATCGTTTAATAAATATCCAGTCAGTCTTAAATGTTTTAGAACATGTTTAATATTGACGTAAGGATGTGTAAGTGGAATCCTCAAAATCTACTTTTCAAAAATATAAATAAATAAAAATGTACTCAAATATGGGAAAAAATGTATTACACGGTAGGGATTAATGATTTATGCAAATTAGGCACTCTTCCCAAAAGAATTTAGGTTCACCCCTTCAAAATATCTTCTCTAAGGCTATAACAACATATCTGCCAAGTTTGGTGCTTTGGACCAGTTGTCACTATCTTATCAAAAGTTGGGTCTAAGCCACCTGACTATCATGAGGGGAAAAGAATAGGCAGGAAAGTCGAAAATACAGACGCACACTTTGACACATGCTTAGCTTTGGAGAGTCCCAGACGGTGTATAATCTGTGCTCGCTCGGTCCAATATTTGAATACAATTTTTTAAGTTTAGAAGAGAATTTGGTCCTTGGATAGGGCAATCATCACCCGATGAATAGTACATGGAAGCGCACATTATTAGCAAATAGAAACTGTGCATACTTTGTTGACAGTATTGTCTTGGTTCTCCAAGAAGAAAGTGAGGTGAAAGACAATACATACATTCATAAATCGCAAAACATATTTGCGTTTATGATTTTAATGATACCGGGCATAAATGATTTTAATCATAAATGGCATAAAGCTAATAATAATTTACTATGGTAAATTTTTGTTATTGTTTATCAATTTATAATAACAAAAAATAGTCCCAGGTTATTTTGAACTGGGTACATGTGTTGGCAATGTAAATGCGGTGCCAGGGAAGTACCGAGCCTCGAGACAACTATTTGCCATTACAACATTACATAATTATATTAACCGATTGTGACCGCTTCTCATTATAAACCGACGCAAACCACTGCAGCACAAACCGACAACGTTGTGCACATGATCACTGCGCAAATATCGTTTCAACTGATGTAGGTCGTTATTCCCTTGAATTTCGGTTTTATCAAAAACATGTGCATGTATTGAGAAAATCACATCTACATCTACATCTACACGGGTACTCAGCCAAGTCCACTTCTGGATGTTAACGCTGAGGTGAAGTTTAAGGTGCATGTGAAGCAGGGGGAAGTTTGTGCAGAAGAAAAATTTAAGTGCGAGTAAAAAAAAAGCTCCAATCTTGGAGCTACTTGGCAGAGATGTGTGCCCTGAAGACCTCCACTGATGGAACTGTGATGACATCTGCAGGAAGGGCATTCCAGAGCCGGACTGCTGTAGGCATGAAGGAGAACTTGTAGATGTCCTTGGAGGAATGAGTTGTGAGAAGCTGGTATCTTGCCGGATGGTAGTTTCGAAGTCTGGTATCTGACATGGGGGGTCAGGTACTGATGTTTGTTAATTGCGATGAGGTTATGGGATATTTTGTATAGCATGATCTTGATGGCTGCTTGATCAAATCAACAACGCACACGCAGACTCCTGCAGCACACGTGCATGCATTCGAATAAATAAAGCAAAGTATGGCGAGGCGTTGTGAACGAGATCCCGGTTGCGACCGCTAGATGATGATGTAGGCCTAAATATTCGCTTTTGGTATTTTCAACCTATTTGCACTGCTAGCGACGTAGAGGGCGGAAGAGTATACATCAGAAGTTTAATCCGGAGTCATATGAAAATCGGACTCGTATTACAATCGGACTCTTTTTCCCTTTTATTGGTTAAACCCTCTCACGTGACCGGTCCCCCTCCTAATTATCTATGCATGAGCATGTGCAATATCACCAATGAGTCCGTATTTCATAAAACCTAAATTCATGCTGCACCGGCTGTGGCAGGGATGAACCGTGAGGTGAAGCAGAAGCGGTAAGGTAAAAGAGATTTAAGTTATCCTCTCGAGTTTGGACATAAAAGGTCGCCTGTTTTTTTGCCCCGCCCACCCTCCCCAGCAAGGTTGCTTGTTCGGACTCTGGTTTCTACGCTCGAATCTTTCTTCCCCATAGGCAGGGTGTGCATGGACTTAAAGGCCTATTATAGATCATTTGCTTTTCATGCATATTGGTTGTTTCCAATAATAAAACGGGTAACACCACTCAAATTCTGTTGAGAAGTTTCAGCTCAGTGGATAGTACACTTTTCGAGAAAACAAAAACAATACACATGATCGTGACACATGATTTCGTCAATAGCACTCTTTTTTTTCTTCAAAAGTCAGTAATATTAACTGATCGTTGGGATTCACCTACAGTAAATTTCACGGGGTGTATGATACTAGTCTATAATCCAAGACTTAGTAAGCTTGTCGATAATTAGTCGGTATTTACTTTTCGGATAAATGCAAACGATATATGCCTTTAACAAACGATATTGGTAATATACGAGATATTTCGATAATTATGAGAAGAAAAAAAAGACATTTGGAGAGGACCAAGTGTGGGTTAAATAAACGGATATAAGTTTTGATGTGTTTGATGTTTCCCCTTGTTTGTGTCATTACTGACCTCTTTGCGGCTGGTTTTGAATGAGAAAACAAAACTGTAGAAAGGACCAAGTGTGGGTTAAATAAACAGATACAAGTTTTGATGTGTTTGATGTTTCCCCTTAAATTCTGTTTGTGTCATTACTGACCTCTTTGCGGCTGGCTTTGTATGAGAAAACAAAACTGTAGAAAGGACCAAGTGTGGGTTAAATAAACAGATACAAGTTTTGATGTGTTTGATGTTTCCCCTTAAATTCTGTTTGTGTCATTACTGACCTCTTTGCGGCTGGCTTTGTATGAGAAAACAAAACTGTAGAAAGGGCCAAGTGCATGAGTAAAATAAATGGAAATAAATTTGGATGTGATTAATGTTTCCTCTTAAATTCCGTTCCTGTCATGTAACTAATTCCGTATATCATGTAACTCCCATCTTTGCTGCTTTATCGATACATGTCACATGCCTCCCCTCAACTTGAAGTGGCATCATCATCATTGAATTATGTCAACACATACCAGGAAACCAAGTGAAAAAAAAATATCTGTGTGTGCCAACTTGCACAGATGAGGGTGGACCAACTTCATAATGTATTACACATTAGGGATTAACGATTTATGCAAATTAGGCACCCTTCACAAAACAATTTCAGGTGTCACCCCTTCAAAATATCTTCTCTAAGGCTATAACAACATATTTGCCAAGTTTGGTGCTTTGGACCAGTTGGTCACGATCTTGTCAAATATTGGGTCTAAGCCACCTGGCTATCTTACAGAATTACGAGACACTCCGATTGTTCACCCAACAAATTCTCATTATTATATGATGCAAAATTCAGTTATATACAAATTCCCCAACACCTGAACAGCAACACTTACCTTCAATTATCCTACAATACAACATATTTTAAACATGAAAGTAATCTATGAATTTACATTTAAAAAAGTATCTTTAAAACTAATATCTTTAGAAATACATATCTGACAAAAAACTACTGCATCATTTACATCAGACATTTAGATTAAAACAATAATTTTTTTCCTCACTTTGAGCAGATTTTATTCAATAAACATAACATCAAACACACCTTGGATCCAACTCCAATTTCTTACCTCGTTTGATCCCTGTGGATGCTGCATCAGATCCCAAGTTCAAGCTGACGAGGCTTAAAATGAGGAGACTACGCAGGACCAGATGCACAAGGTTATACTGTCCTCTAGGGTCCATCTTGAGGATCGTTAGCTTGAAAACAAAGATTTGATCGACGCTTTATTATTACATAAATGTTACTTTGTTTACCTAAGATAATTTTTAAAAACCCACAATTTGACAAAAAATCGGAAAATTTAAAAATTAGAGAATACATTAAAATATATACACCACCTGTACATTCACCCAAGCAAAAGAATCACCTGGGCCTAATAGTGATGCAAATGTGCACATAACCCTGCCATGCAACATATACAAAGTGGTTTTTATTAAAATGACTTCAAAAGTTTTTGGTTTTTTTAGAGTTTAACATATCAGTTTTACCTCTCAGTCTTGATCAGTTCAGCAAGTCGTTAGTTGTGACGTCTTTCAAGTTGTCTTCTTTGATCAGTACATGTAAATGCCTAGTGCCCGCTCTCGCATCTCCTACATGTATTTATCCGATGAAATGATGAATTTGCATACAATATACAACGCTTGACTAGATCTCATCTGATTGGTAGGTCACGTCACTGAATTTTTCGCACCAACCCACGCTCCGGTCGCATTGCAAAAGTAGATTTTCTATTGCACGGTAAATAAAGGTTCAATTGCACGGTAACATGATTGGTGGCTCTGACCAATCAAATGACGAGGATTTATTCAAGTGTTGTTAAAAAAACACATAATGAATATTTGACACTCATGCAATGAAGAGAACAATTACATTGAGTGATGGAAAGAATGTTCCATTCCAATCAGCTTTGCCTCCTGGAATGGAACATTCCATCCGTCAGTCACCTTTCAACCACTGCACTCATAAACATCTGTTATTTGTGTACAAGTACTAAGAATCCCAAATGAAGACTTTGTACGACATAACAAAAACAATATGCAACAACAAGCCACACCATGCATCAGGGGTTAAAGACAAACATGGAAAGATCATAACTGATGATGCAGGAAGAAAAGCACGATGGAAAGAACATTTTGAAGAAATTCTAAATCGAGAATCCCCAACAACTCCAGTCGAAACTGAATCTGAAGAGATTGGTGAACTAGACAACATCAACACAAATCCTATCACTAAAGGCGAAGTAAGACGTGCAATCAAAAAGCTCAAAAATGGAAAAGCTGGTGGAGTGGATCAGATAACATCAGAGTTATTAAAAGCAGACATTGATATGGCAACCGATAAGTTGCACAGCATAAAAAGTGATGTTTGGAATCACGAGCAAATACCAAATGAATGGAAGAAAGGTTTAATTGTAAAACTGCCTAAGAAAGGAGACTTAGCAGAATGTGGGAACTGGCGAGGGATCACGCTACTTCCAATTGCAAGCAAGGTGTTGGGCAGGATACTAATCAACAGAATCAAAGCCGGAATTGACGATAAGCTCAGACAAGAACAAGCAGGTTTCAGAGAAGGGAAAAGCACAACGGAACAGATTTTCATATTAAATTAAGGAATATTATAGAACAGTCCATTGAATGGCAATCATCGCTATACATAAACTTCATTGACTTTGAGAAGGCATTTGATTCGATTCATAGGGACAGCCTTTGGGAAATTATGAGACAGTACGGGATTCCAAGAAAACTCATCAAAGTTATTATGGCAATGTACAGTGATAGTATCTGTGCAGTATTAGAGGATGGCGAGGCCACAGAATGGTTTCATGTAAAGACAGGAGTGAAACAGGGATGTGTGATGTCAGGGTTTCTATTCTTGCTTGTGATTGACTGGGTGATGAAAAGGACTACCCAAAAATGTAACACAAAGATAAGATGGAGGATGATGTCCAGTCTTGAAGACCTAGACTTTGCTGATGACATCGCCTTATTGTCATCCAGCCATTCTCACATACAAAAGAAAACTGACAACCTAACCAGATTTGCAAGTAAAGTGGGCCTGAAAATCAATGGAAAGAAGACAAAGATCATGAGACTGAATAGTAAGAAAACAGAAACTGTTAAGCTAGATGGAAAAGACATAGAGGATGTGGAAGAATTTACCTATCTTGGGGCAAATATGGGCAAGGGAGGAGGTGGAGGAAAGGACATGAACAGCCGGATAAAGAAAGCAAGAATTGCATTTAGGAAGCTGAATAAAATTTGGACGTCAAAACAATTCACCAGGCAAACAAAAATCAAGCTTTACCAAACCATTTTTAGACCAGTACTACTATATGGATGCGAAACCTGGAAAATGAACAAAAGTGACGAAAAGAAACTGGACTCATTTCAATACCAATGCCTGAAGAAAATCATGCAAATATTTTGGCCCAACATCATCTCAATGGAGGAACTCAACAACATGACAGAAGTAAATAAAATTAGTCTAGAAGTGAAAAGAAGGAGATGGAACTGGATAGGTCATATACTGCGAAAAGAGAAGGAACACCATTGCAGGACTGCTCTGACATGGCATCCAGATGGCAAACGAAAAGTTGGCAGGCAAAAAACAACATGGCGTAGAACTAGAACTTGCCTTCTTAGTTCAGTTCTCAACCTGTCACATCCAGGATTATTTGTAACAGTTTCTGGACTTTACCCCAATGTATCGCAGATCCAGTCTGATCTGGTCTAAACAATTGTTTATCCAAAAAAAACAAAAACAAAATGTCTAGATTTGTTTCACAAGCATAGACCAGCCACTGCAGTGCACTGCTTGAATATTAACCGACACCTGTGAAAGGAACATATCTTCCAAAAATGGTTTCTATCGAACTGTATCAACCAAGAAATCCCATCCATTTCAACTAAATCCACTGCCATGAAAAGAAAATACACCCCAAAACATGTTAAGATTTGACAATAAAACAAAGGTATGAAAACTCAATTATGATTTGCATTGGTTTATTTGAAGCGAGCTTACACAAATGAAGTTCAATTTAAAACACTGCATTAATGTGAATTAATAATAAACAATTTTATCAAGTTTTAAACAAAACAGTCTTTTAGACCAAGTTGTAAAACAATTTAATAAATGGACATCTGAAGATTCGTCACAGCAAAATGTTAAAGAGACTGTTGGAAGATGGCAAGTCACATCTTGTTATTTTCTCAGTTTAAGTTGAGACTACATTTTAGTTAAATGGGATCAAGGCCTTTCAGTCTATCATCACAGTTTTTTTGTTATGTACAAAAGGGCAAAAATCATTTACGCTTTGTCATTCTGTTGGAAAAAAGACACTTTCCGATCTACCATAAGATACCGTACTCCTTGTTTTAACAAAGAAATGTTAAGACACACTAGTACAAGTAGTGTAGAGAATAGTATGCTGCAATTACTGCCGTGGTAATTCATTTACTTCTCTATTTTTGTGCACTCTTTAAGTTTGGGGAAAATACTGTGAAAAATCATAAAATGTGTTGAACTTGGCTTAAGGCATTTGTGAAATAATAAGGTATAAACTAGTATATGATGCAGAGAAAACTAGATGAATCAACAAATAGATTATCTGAGAACATCCAAGGTAGATACATGTCATGTTAAAGGTAGAGTACATCATTTGTAGTTTGTGCATTATGTTCGTTTGAAGCAACGAAAGTGCTCAAAATCTAAAGAAAGTTGGTAACAACTAACCTGATGAATTTTAGTTCAGTGAATGCTGTACAGTCCAAAAAAACCCCAGTATTCTAGGATCTCAATTTCAACTCAAAATGTGCCAAGTCATGTTTTGAATTGCACCCGAATTCAGTGTCTAGGATACGTCCTCATTCAGTTGAATGCAGCTACGCGATGTGGCACACTTACCCGAAAAATATAGCAACCCCCCCCCCAAAAGAAAGCGCATGTAGTAGTGTCAATGTTTGCGTGCTTCGCCGAATTAAAACATGAACTACTAACAGACATTTCCAATGAGTCTTCAGACGCACCTTTGGAAATGGCCTTCTTTCATTGTTGTCTCAAAATGACAGCATGCCAGAAACAATAATTCCACACGAAGTTTAGTCCCATTACTATCTTTAAACCAAGTATGCTTTTCAACAGTAATTTTGTCAGTTACTTTCTGGATAGGTGCAAATGATGGACTGTAGCTTTAAGCCTTTTATTTTACAGCAACAACACTATGTATACATCTGCACCAAACCTCTTTGCATCTTTACATATGAAGTGTTTAAGATGCAAGAAAGGAACACCTTTCACTACACGCATGTGCATTCTTTAAGTTTATTTTTAGGGCATCACAAATGTAATGAAACAACTAACTCTCCTAAAGTTGTAAATCAAACCTTACAAATTTCAACTATTTAATTCCCAGTGAAGAAAAGAAATACCAACAAAGGAATATACTGAGAAGTTGATTGCCCTTCTCCCCAACCCATAAGGGGGGCAGGGGGAGGGGGTCCTTAATACTTTTCCAACTCTGTTTTAAGTTGCTCTGGTAGTGCAATTAATGAAAGCAAAATTCACCACTGCCTTGATGATTTGTATGCAGCTTGCTGATGTTTAACTCTTGTGGGAAGGAAAAAGAGCGCCCTCTATAGGCCTGCACAGAGTCTACACTGCAACTGAGGTTTGATTCTCATGTCTAGTTATCACCAGCATCACCATATGTTTTAACAAGTGTTTCTATGTGTATGAGGTGTGAGATCCTCATAAGCCTCATACTCACCAACTTAACCAGATTATTAGTACCCATTTATTTATTTGGCATACGATATTGCTATTATTGGATGACAGGACAGTGAGGTCCCTATACAAAACAAAGTATCTTTATGAACATGAGGTGACCACAACCTCCAATCGAGGCGCTTCAATACATCTTTCAATGTATTGTCCGCATCTCACAGTGCAAAGTACATGTGTATGGGTTTCTCAAGTGAGGTTCTCCAGCTGTCACACACATAGAACCTCATTGATTATATGCTGTAATTTGCATATTGGCCTGGTGAGTCTGTAGTTCAGAATGCTAGGGCATTTTAGGACACCTCAACAGTATGAGGTACATACAATTTTCAGTTGAGGAGCTTGTTTAAATCCAACATAGGGAACCGTTTCCATTACACTGCATATTGACCAAGCGAGTGCAAATAACAACCCTCTTGAGGCTTTTCAGTATGCCTCACATTGCAAGGTATATAGGCTTCTCACATGAGGATCGCAAAGTTTCCAAGATAACCACCTCTTTGACTTCATCCTGTACATGGCAAACTGGCTAGGTAAGTTTTGAACAAAATCCTCAAATAACAATGTACATCATGTGGTTTGTGAGTGAGGTTCTCACTAAGCCCAGATAAAGAACCTCACTGATTACACCTTTTACATAGAATACTGGCCTGGTGAGTGTTGAGTAAACCGTTGGCTGTCATCCACACCTGCTGAGGTCAGGTCTCTGATCATTACGTGAGGCGCGTTGTAGGTTTCATATTGCATAGCAGCTTGGTGAAGCTTCTCAAGAAAGTCAGGCACACCTACAAAGGAGGGTGAAATGTTAAATTTGGACTTCTTTACTTTATTCATGATGATGAAACTGAGGATTCCTGAACAATTGGGATAGGGATAGAAACCCTGAAAACAAACCTACAGACAGAGATAAGATGAAGATGTTCTGTTGGGAAGGAAACCCTGGAATGACAAGCAGGGAAACCAAAGAAATCAGGCAAGGATTGAATATCCATCCACATGTCAGTCAAAGTGGGATCTGAACCTTAGTCATAGGCTTGAAATGTAAGGAACATACCACTGCACTAACCAGACTCACTCTACACTGTCCTGAATGCTGCAAGCATAAATCTGTGTAAACTGTAGGCTAGGGTTGTACTAACAGCAGCAAAAATAAGACAGACCTACAATACAGAATCACGAGGTCACACAACTCCATTTTTGCAACAGTGAAAGTTTAGCTAAATGCTTACCAAATTGACAGATCCATTAAGCATGCCTGCTGCCCACGTAAGCAACAACACATGCATCCCTCTAATCTAATGCCACAATGCATGTTCTAACAGTATATGTTTTAACAAGTGCACGCATGTTGGATTATGTCATACTTTTGGCTGTGATTGGTCTAACATCATGAGAAGGGGCTTAACCCTAATGATCCCCAACCAGCCAAACTCCAACACTGTTAGGTTTGTTGGAATCTGTTAGGATGAGTACTACACTAGTAAACTGACTATGCTTTATGTGGGATTAGGCATACTACATATAAACAGAGCCCATCTGCTTTTGTGCAGAGTTTACCATATGGTGTTTGGATTTACAAGGATGAAGAAGGTTCCTAGTTAATCACCCTAGGGAGTTAGGGTTAATAGATTGGTCAGTTGGATCATGGATCCTCATCCTTAAACTTAGCTATTATTGACAGACTGACCTGATTTTGTCATCCAGTTGACACAAGGTGATGGGAAGGAAGTCTGAGGATCGTCATGGTAGGTCAAGATGTAGTCAAAGCCATTCTGTCAATCAAACCAACCAATTGGTAATGATTAATTTCAATTATGAAAATCTCTTCGAAACAAAGTCATTTTTTTCCTCAACTGGCCTACAATGTTACTCTATTTGCAGTTAAAGGGAATATACAACATTTGCAAACATCGAAAAATAAAACTACCAAGTTTTTGCGAAGTACCTTAATAGGATGTTGGTAAATGACAGTCTAAAGCATCCTGTAAAATTATGGCACCTGGTATACTGTCATTTTCAAGAAAAGTGGTATTTTTGTATCAATTTCCAACGCTGATCGGCCGATCAGCGTCGGAAACAACTGGCTTTTTTTTCAAATACTGGCCCCAATTGACCATTGCACTTGTTTGCAATCGATTACAAACCTATGAACGGGTACGAGCCAGCTAGACTGGTTCCCTGACCTTACAATTCCCAAATGTATGTAAACTGCTCTGTTTCTTCTTATATGGAGTCAGGGAACCAGACTACAGGAAAATGATCGTTTTTCTTGGTTTTTATAGCATTTTCGAACCCAAAACCTCCAAAAAGTTAGTGTAACTATATTTGCTTTATATTTCAAACCCCCCAATTCCATCCATTTCTGAAAATTACAGCAAAAGCAAATGATGTATATTCCCTTTAAAATCACAATCATACTGCAATGTAACCAAGAATCCTTTGAAAGAAGATGAAAGAAATGTCAATTGTAGGCTGGGAAGTGTGTGTATGGTGGGAGTTGAACCTCAGTCACCAAATGTGAAAGGAGAGGAAAGGAATGCTGAGCCAAAAAAAGAATTCTTATATCAATGATGAAATGATGAAACGGAAGGAGTCATGATCATAATAATTCATCAAATACTTTTACAGCCTCTTTATTACTTACAAAATAATAATCAGCAGAATAACAAAATCATAACATTTAACATCAGGGCAATGCAAATTTAACAACAAAAGAGCTTTTCGGATTAATACTATCGATGGACAACAAAATCTGATTTTCTAGAGCTTGTTTCTAGAAACAAACTGTCACAGATCCAACCTACCTCCTCAAAGCTACGATGAGGTCTGATGACCATCTGAGAGAAGTAGGAATTAACTCGGACATGGGTCTTGCTAGCTGGGACTTTAGGATGCTCCACAGCTTTGGAGACAACAGTCATGATGTTATTGGCATGGTCGATCTTGAACCGTCGGGCAAACACGTAGTCTCGGCTGTACATCGGAAACTGAAGAAGGTTGAAGTGGATTCAGTTTAAGACATTTCTTAGTATTACATATAAATCCCTACCAAGGCATCAAAGCCGACATATCTTCTTAAATAATCGTCATCACCACAAGGTCATGTTAAGAGTGAAAAAGGCTTAACTCTTTAAATGTACAGACTAAAGAGTAGCACTAGATACACTACAATTACTCAAAACTTGATGAATACTGAATAACAGGGATAATGGAAGCTGACTTTGTAAGGAGAATAGTTTACAATGCTGAAAAAGTTAATGAGGCAAGATATTCAAAAAGACAATGGTCTGAAGTTGGAAGCGAAAGGAGGTAGCAAGAAATACAACATCAGAATTGATACAAAAGTAAAGTAGATTGAAATTTAAAGCCTTAAAAGTCCTGAAATCAATTAGAGATTTAAAGGAACAAAGCCTTTTCACAAACACAAATAATAAATAAATGTTAAATGCTGCTATCTGAAATAAATACAAGTAACTGAGACCAATCTGACATTTGTTTCAACGAATGTTACTTAATATAAGGCCTACTTACAGGGTAGTGTGTGACCCAGTGTATGACCTCTGACCCTGTGTCATCATCCTGGTCAACCACGTCCAGCTTGATAGCATACTGGTCCCAGACTTTGCGGTATTCAAGATCCAACTGGACTTGGAAGAAGGATTTGGCAGAGACATCCATGAAGCAACCATAGGCTGTAGACAAAAAAAGAGAGAAAAAAATACTTTAGTGTACACTGGCAACTACGGTTAGAGTATTCATAAAGAAAATACAAAAAGAAATTGTTTTCAAAATTTGTATTAATTGAAATTGGCAAATTTGATTTCACAATTTGTGGAGAAGTTTTTGCAGATTTTTGGCAAATTTGGTTCACCAATTGGTGATGACAAAATAGACGCAGAGAAGTTTTCACAAGTTGTCAATAAAATGTTTAAAGTGTGCATTGCAATGCGAAAGTTACTATTCCAAAACTTCCTTTCTGAACATAGTTCAACTCTTTCCAAGAATTTATCTAGACTGCTGAACCATCAATATCAAAAAGTAAACAAAACATGTGAAATCTAATCAATCTGAAATAAAAAATAATCATTCCAACAGATACATGTAAATCAAAAGGTCCAACAAAATTCAACAGAACTCCCCACTGTTAGGTTCTCTTTCTTGGATATAGCAAGTCGGGGTTTATCACAATAGTTACTTCTGACATTATTGAGGATGCCCAACAATTTCAAAATACATTCCACTGTAGCCTCAAGTATCACACTTTGACCTCTAACCTTTGTATTCATAGAGATAGGTATCATCCAGGGGTCGTCTCCAGACTTTCAGGTGATTGTGTTTCAAGATGACATCCCATGGTGCATTGCTTGTCGTCCCTTGGTTGTCATTATCGAGTCTCTCCAACTCTTCAACCATTTCAAAATCATCAGCGCAACTGAAGAAAATACAAAGCAATACAAACACACTTTGAAATGTTGCAGTTATCGCTGCAAAATGACAAGTTTTATAAATAAGATCTTAACCCTTACCCTACTAGACCCTCCAACGCATGCCAATATGTGCCTCAAGAAAATCTCCTATGTTTTTTGCATGGCCCTCCAATATCTGCCATGTCATTTCAAGGGTAACTGGACAGGCACTCCAATACATGCCACAGAGAACAATGAGAGTCCTCTGATAACAAAGTGAGTGCCCCCAGCTGGTCACTATCAGGCACCCTCCAGGGCCTCCAACTCCTGCCAATTGGAGCCTTCACTGTTAAATCTAACTATCTGCCAAAATACTGCAGCTGGAGGGCATTGGCATAACCAACTGACATGCAGTAAACTACCCTCAGAGAGTAAGGGTTATAAAAGCTTATATTTGTTTAGAATGTAGAATAAGCATATCTACATGTAGTAGAAAGAGATAAATTTGGTAGACATTAGATAAAGGTTTTTGCAAAAATACATGAAACTTCTGTAAAGAAAAAATTCTCTTTTTAACTATTGTAAAAAAAAAAAAAAAAAAGTAGCAAAATAACCACCTCTTTTGTACATGGTACAATTCTGAATGGAAATTTCTTTTTGCAAATATCTTTAGCCTTATTTGGCATGGTAGAACCCTATCAAAGTAAAAACTTCTATGGATTCCAACTTCTCTGTTACTTGTTAGTACCTTCCAAACAGCTTTTCAAAATTATACAATTGGTCATTAGTTCACGACCAAATAAAAACAGGTCAAAGTTTAATACTCATTATTAAATTCATTATTGATTTGTCCCATGCTTCACTGATTTTATTATTCGATCATTGTTTAATTCATAATTAATAAATTTACATCTCCTTGAAGCAAAAATTCCATCCTACAAGTTTACACAGATTGATTTAATTAGTTACTTACTGGTCTACCAAGAAAAAATCTGAACATGATTTAATGCCCTAACCCATCCGGAAAGATTCCCATATATGGCATCACTTGTCCCCCTGTGCGCAAAAAGTATGAGACTGGTCAGAAAATTTCTAAGTCCAGTGTTTTCTCAGTAATACTTCAATATTCACCCTGCTAATTTGGACTTTTTAGGACATATTAATCACTTTCTGATGGCTGATACGTCATTAAAGGAAAAAATTAGTGATGGCCAGATATGGGAATCTCTTCCCCATTTTTTAATTTTCATAATAAATTTAATTAATAAATTTACATCTCTCTGTGAATAAAAACATGCAAAATTCCATCCTACAAGGTTGCAAAGATCAGTTTAGGTCTACCTAGAACAATTCTGTACACGTAAAAATGCCCTAACCTATCCATTTCTTGATCTGTGATTCGGTTATGTTTGTCCCACACAAAGCACGCTCCACCGAAGAGAAAGTAAAATGGCCGTTTCCTTCCTCTCACAAATCGTCTGGAAAAATTGCCGGCTAAAGTCTGCAACATGTTCTCTGCGTAGATATAGCCGTAAAGGCTCATCACTCCTTCCATACGACGCAATTTCTGCGATGCATAGACGTGTAACTGTCTCTTGAGCAACTTGAGTATTGTGTCTAGGCATTCGGGTAGACTTTGTCCGCGAAGTAGGGTCACACGAACCCACGTTCTCCACGGTAGAACAACGCGTTGGGAACTTCCACTCCGCCAGTACGCATTCTTTGCAAAATTCAGCTTATTGCTGCAATTGTGAGGTCTCAGAAGCCTCCTAGTTGCTTCCCGCAATGAGTTCTGAAACGCCATTTCGTTGTATTTTTTCAAACCTGACGATATTATTTGGAAATGCAGAACGAAAATGTTACGAAATAGTCACGACTTCGTTCGGTTTGTCGGTGGCCATCTTCACGAGAACTTTCTTTACTAATTTGTACACACTGCTGCGTGTTCGCAACTTCCCATTTGTATGGGTACCGTTTAGTAGCCGGGGCTGAAATGTTAACTGGTAACCGCTCAATCGTCACAGTGAGAGCATAGAGAAAGGCTAGTGAGAATGAGTACAAAAGTACCAGTTAATGTCCTGGCAACAGAGAACGCATAGGCCATGTAGGCCGTTCTGTGCTGCAAAAGGGACAAATTTTGCTTAAATTCTTCAAAAGTTAATGTGCGATTCGAAAACAAACAAGATTTTCCGGTTCATTTAAAAACATGGATAGTATTGGAACTTTAGATTTGGCGTAAGTATCGTTCAGTTAAACATAAACATTGTTGAAAAACATTCATAACTTGCCGAGATAATTATTCATCATTTTCTTGTTGTGGCAAAAAAGGGGGAGGGGATGGGGGGGGGGGGGAGGGAAGGGGATACGGAGTGGGATGGAAGGGGGGGGGGTGGTCTGGTTAATTAGGGTTAGATTGCTGACAGATTGTAGTGTCTATAATGACTATATGCCAGGTCATTGATGATAGGTATGTTGGGTTTTTTTTGGGGGGGGGGGGTAAGGATTGTGTTGTTGGTAATCTAAATGGCTTGTGTGAAACTTTTTATGGAATGTAAATTTTCACCTTTGGTGTGTGAAATTTATGCTTTGTATCATGTCTGTTAGTTAGTTTCTCCCTTTCAAATTTTACTGTAACTCTAACGATATGAATTTTTAGCCTGATTTTGTAAATATTGTTATTGTCAGCATTTATGCTGTTGTGTACAATATATTTTGCTTTTTAGGAATAAACCAGAATAAATAAATAAATAAATAAATAAAAATAGGTATGTGAAAGTTTATGCAGGCCTATCTAACATAACAAAGTTCAAAATGTTTTAATCTCCAAATTCATTTGGGTTTCAAAACATTTTCACGGTATTTACATGCGCCATCTTGTTCACGGGGCAAAAGATTAACAGGGCTAATTTGATAAATTGTATTGTTGATATTTATTTTACTTTTATCAAAGTGAATGATTTAATTTTAAGTAGGCCCTAGGCCTAGTTGATTTAAAATTCGCCCTATTTTCTTTTTCAATCATTTTAAAGTGATCTATACATTTCTTTTTATCCACTCCTAGCTGGGCCCAAGGCTACAATGGCTCCGATGCCTTATTCATCAACCGTAACACTCTCTGCCATGTCTGCGGCACTGGGATCAAATTCATTGATGTGACGACCCATCGTGAGTCAATCCACCCATCGCCTGGTGAAGGCATCGGAGTGTTTACAGTCAGTGGTAGCATGCATCTGGTAGCCTTCACAGAGATGTGCCTGAATCCTAGGATCTTTGTGTATTCCTATCCAGGATTTACACAGAAGGCCGTCTGCCAAGGTCATTATATGGATTTGTTGTTAATTTTGTCATTTGTTTTGTTGTTTTGTTGTTGGTGATGTCGGTTAATCAAACTTTTTAGAAATCACTGTTTTTAGTGCACGAGCATAAAACCCAGCATTGGGGGGCTTGTGAAGTGTATACCCACTCCATTTTTTTTCTAATTACCCTTTCTCAAATGTTGTTGAAAAACCAGTGTCTTGAAAAAATGATAATAAATCATGTTTGAGTAGTCTAAAGTTTTTAGGAATAAATAATACTCTCCTTTTATAGAAAACAAACTTGAAGTTTGTATTAGTTCAAACTATTGTGTTTATACTGATGATATTTAATACATTTTGTTATGAGCTGGAGCACCAATAAAACCATTGGAAAAATTGGCTAAATTGCTGCATTTTGCCTTTGTTTTTCATTTACAGGAGGTACTAAACTGGAGTACAGTGCTCTTGCTTTCTCTCATACACATCCATACCTTGCAAGCTGCTCAGCTATTCCTAACTTCACGCTGACTCTGTGGTGAGTCTTAGACAGTTCCATTCATCAATAAATTGAAGTTGATTAGAGGATTGATTGCATATGATTGTTTTGCCCTGTATGCTTTATGGCCCTCAATGAAGCATGAAAATACAATCTATCCCGTTGAAGGAGAGACCCTGTGTATTAACACTGTTTGCAAACATTGTTATATTACATCAGAAATTGTTTTTGTACATGTAGATGCCATATTTGACTTAATTTTGTTGTGGATAAATCATTGATTGTACTCAAATATCTCCCATGAACAGAAATCACACTGCCTTCAATAGTCATTGCACTGAGCCCATAGCAAATGGTTGCAACTAAATTGACTTTAAATCTCCTTGTAGTTATAGACTTTATCAGCTGACAGGATTTTGATTTGATTCTTACCCTATCTCTGTAGGAATTGGGAGACAGGTTCACTGCTCTGCAGTAAATCCATGTGGGGCCTTCAAGCCAACCATATCTCCTTCAATCCTACTGACTGGCATAAACTCTGCGTTATCGGTCCTAAGCAGATGACTGTCTGGACCATTGAACAGGCTGATAAGCTCTACTCACTTGTACCAAGGTAAGAGGTACTCTTCAATGCATTGATGTTGGACCCCTGGCACTCGTGTGAAGACGTTTTTGAGTTTGTGCATGGTTTGTTAGTTTGTTATCTGTATTATTTTATCTGGGCAAGGAGTATCAAGTCTGTTTAATATCCAATCCACAGCAAAACCAGACTTCCCTACTGTGATGAGGCAAAAACCAGACCCCTGACACCAGAAGAGGTTCCAGACAGACCGGCCACTCAAGCAGGACCCTTAAAGATTGATCCAGACAAGGCAGCGGTTGCCGGCCTGGTCGGGGAACCAGCCGAAACCTTTGATGCAAACTTTGACGAGAATCGTAGGAAGGTTGCTCCGGCTTCGATGTGCTGGACGACGACGGGGGATATCTACTGTGGATGCGAGGGGGGCCAGTTGCTGAAGTATGACACCGAGACTCAGATGGTGAATATGATGTATAATCCTGAAGAGAAGACAGGTGGAGGAGCGTCTAGAGTGGCATCTGCTGATGGACTGTCTAGGATGGCTACTGTACTTGATGGTAAGCTGTGAAATCAAACACAATCTTGCAATCAGTTTTTGAAAGAAATTCTTTTGTTTTCTTTAATTTGAATGAGTTCTGGTCAGTTCAATTCAATAGCATTTTTTATTTCCATAACAACATTAGCTGTCTACTACTTGATGATAATAGTGTTGTCATAAATAACAATGGATAGTAATATCGATCAGGATAAGAATTACACTGAAGAGCTGCGAATCACAAGTAAAAAAAAATTAAAACCTGTCTTTTTATCACATTATGACAATGTTACGTTACAGAGGAGGAGGCCAAATCTCCAAACAAGAGTCTCTCTATTAAGGAAGGAACTCTGAACTGCCTAGCTCTGCATCGTGAGGGTCTATTCGCTGGTGGTGAGGATGGTATCTTACGTTGCTTGGATGTTGCTCATGGTGTGGTGCAAGTATCTGATAGCTGGGATAGTGGAGCAGCTATCTCATCACTCTGCTGGAATACAAGCTATAGCAAGCTGGCTGTCGGTAGCCCAAAGGTATGTCTAAACACCTACATTGCTGGTTTTGGTTTTGTGATGTAAGAAATTAGAACTTGCTTATTGACGAGAGAGACCTGAAATGTACAAATCATGAAAATTAAAAGGCCTAGATTTTTTTATTCACCCAAGATCTTTTCAAGGGCAAAACTCTGAGAAAGATTTGTTGGGAGCAAAATAGCTAACCTTGCATGATACATGACAGACATTTATAGTAAAAAGACAAAGAAATGTTTTATAATTGTTATAAAAGGCAACCGAAAAAATATTACATATAGGCAGAACATTTGTCTGTTTAAAACTTGAGTAGAATTTCTTTTTATATGAAATGACTGCTACCTGCCATTGTGTAGTAAACTAGTATTGTAATGTAAACTAGTATGGTAACGTTTTCATCAACCACTATTACTCTTTGTATTTGTCATCAGGGTTGTATACATCTATATGACCACAGTAATCCAGGCACAGCAGATGTACTGATTGACACTCATAATGGGATCTTTGTTGCTGTAGCAATGATGGCGCCGGGGACTCAACACTGTGTGGTAAGATCCTATGCTGTCTGTATGGCTAGGTCTGAATCAAGCAGCTGAGTCTGTGGCTGTGGCTAGCAAGAGCAGTATTCCATTGGCAGAACTATAAAACCATATACATAGACAGTGGCTTATTTGTCCTTAGCAAGATCACAAAGAAACTTGGAGTTCAAAGTTAAAACCATATTTAATGCAAAAGAAGACAAATATACTTACAAATGAACTTATGGGGGGAAACAGAAATGTGACTTAATTAACTTAGTTGAATGTTTTTGTCTTTCAGTCTGTGAGGCAGAATGGAGAAGTACAAGTCTGGAGTATGGAAGACAATAAGCTGGTATCCAGTCTGTCTCTCAATAAACCGGTGAGTGTTACTACCCCACCTCCCAGTGTTGCTGACTCAAGTCACTATTTTTTTGGAGACTTGACTTGACTTGGAAAAAAATTGATTTGTGACTGACTTGACTTGAATAATTTTGACTTGATGACATAAACACTTTTGTTAAAATAAACACAAACTTTTGGGCACACGCAAAAATTGGCTGACCAGAAAGCCAAGTATCTGATATACATGTACGTAGCGGGCTAGGTGTCCTGCACGTATATATACATGTATGCGGGGATTGTCGAGGTACGAGGTGTTATTTGTGCAGTGCATGCCAGTGTAGGCCGTCGAGATCAGAGCCGTTGGCTAGTTGTGATACAAGACACCACATTGCTATGTTGCACATTACTGATCAGTGTAGAGAAGCATGGACGAAGCGACATCATCTGGAAAAAAAGGGACTGGAAAAAAAAAGACTGGAAAACGACTACTATCATCATGTCATGGTACAGAATTGAGGCGTAGTAAGAATTCTTCCTATTCGACAATAACGCTTGGCAAATGAATGTAAAATGTCCTTCAAAAATTCAACATTGAATTTAGTTTGCACTGATTTAATCACATTTAATCACAATGAGGTGTTTGAGAGAGCAAATTTGAAAATTGTAAAATTGTATTTTTAAATTCTCCCTACATGATGCACGCTTAATAAACCCCATCACGCACATGTATCGTAGACTGGTACCAGGTCTTTTGCTAAACAGTCTTTTATTTCTTTCTTGTCCAATAGGCTTCCTGCCTGGCAAGCAGCCCATCATCCCACTCTGTTGCCGTGGGAACCCTCAACGGCCACATCTTCTTCCTTGATCTCTCCAATCTGGAGAATCCACGCATCATCCAGCGTCTTCACATCCATCAGACACCCGTCCAACAACTGGTCTATGATGAGGAGGGGCGGTACCTATTCACGGGGGCGGATGATGGCCATGTGTTTGTGGTGGATGCCAGGCCGTCGACGGGATTCAACATTCTTGGCCAGACACGTAAGTCATCATGTGACCAATCATGTGACCTACTACAGCAATGCCCATTGAAATTTAGCAGTGTGTTTTGTTTACATACACATAGCTTGTGCTGGTCACATCTGAATCTGGTCATTTGTCTATTTTCCGTTACAGCTGTCGAAGGGCTTGTAGTAGCCATTTCAACCAACACATCTGAGAAGCATGGACCAGTTAAAGTTCTGGTGACATCCAATACGACCCCAGATATGACCCAAGGAGCTAATAAATGCTGCCAGTTTGACCTGCCAAATGACCTGGCTGAAGGTAGGTCAAAGGTCATGAACACGAGAACATAGAAATGTGTATTGTAAACCTCTGTGTGAATGCCAGTTGAACCTATGGACTTGTTCTCATGAAGCTATCATCTTTCCAAGGGTTGCTAATTTCTGATAAAAAATTATAAATGAAACAAAGATGTTGTTAATGACAAAGTACAGCTGTTTTGGGGTGAACTGAAAAAGGAACATTTTTTATTTGTATTTTTTGACAGCTTACTGCAAATGTTTCCAATGTTATAGTTTGCCAATTATTAGAAAAGGCACATAAATAAGTCATTTTATCTATAAGATGAACCCTTTTTTCATCAAGAACAACATTTTGTGGATTTGTGTTTATCCTGCAGATATTGACAAGTTTATGGCCAGTGCTAAGTGTGACTTCAAGGAAGATGCCATTGGTAAGATGAATTTGAACTTCTCCGTGCCGTGTGTTGGTGCTGCGTTGACTACAGGCAGTGTGTTCTACACACTGGCTTATGACACCAAACAGCTACACAAGCTGATTCTACCTGATGAAGCTCCAAAGAAGGTCAGAATTATGGACAAATGTCATGCCTAGTCAGTGTGCTACCCAATTTTAACTCTTATTCTGGGTTCTTGAGTTTGAATCTGTTGAGAGGAAAAGTTTTCAGTTGCATTTGTACAACGTGAATTTCTTAATCTTCTTTAGAGTTCAGAACTGTTTCTAAGGTTTGTCTCTATTCTCTGTCAATTTGAGGTCACTTTGGTAAAGCTGTAAAACAAAAATTGCTCTAACCACTATTTTATTACAAAGCTTTCAGAAAGTTTTGTTGAATAAACTAGTTCCTAAAACATAAAACTTAAAAAGGACAAAGAACAAAACAAAATTCAGTTGATTTATCTTGGATAGTCCCAAAAGCTATAGGGTTACATATTAAAGGACAAAATTTAATACAAGATGCCACTTTAAAACTCGTAATTTTTTTGTCTTTATTTTTCCAGGCCAACAACAAGGCTTCCTACCTGCAACCCCAGGGTGAATTCCCAGGTCATGACCTCCCAGGAGGCTCACTGAATCTATCTCATCATCAGAAATGGCTGGCCTCAGCTAGTCCCGATGGCCGTGTCTTAGTGCGTGGTGTAGGGGCGTTAGACCGTCCTATCATGATACAGGCTCATAGCTTCTGTTCTGGTGGAGTTAAGGAGATGTGTTTGTCTACTGATGCTCAGGCGGTGTTGACGTGTGGCGCACAGGATGGGATACTGGCATGCTACACATGGAAGTAAGTTGTAAAAGCCTTCATTTATTTAATTTTAGTTAGTTATTTATTTTTTGCTTCACTTTCCAAAAGTTTCTTTCTTCACTTGCCAAAACAACCAGTAGCATCTGTTTGAGTTTGCTGAATTGATTTCATGTGGCAATCTCAACCAGATGCTGTGGAAATATATTTTTGTTTAAATATTCACATTGTAAACTTTAAATTCCCAAAAATTCAACATGTTCAATATCTGCGTATGAAGGACACAGAAACTTACATGCCCCAAAATTGCTTAGTACTTCTTGTCAATAATTCATGCATAACATCTTAAAGTAAAGTGGTCCTAAAATGAAAGGTGATAAAACTACTATACTGAGAAAACATATGAGAGCTTTTTCATGTCCTTTGAAAACCTGAGCAGATATTGTCAAAAAAGAATTAATATTGTCACTATGTTCACATCAACTAACGCAGCACAATTTCATCTTAAGTCCTAAACATTCAGCTGTTGAGATGGTCATCCTTCTTTTAGTTACAGCAATACAGGTCGTAGTAAGGCCACCTCGGCCATAGAAGCAGCTCGATCCCAGAATGCAATGCTACATGCCATCCGCAAACGTGAGGATGAGGTGATGAGTGGTATGCCTGACTGGAATGAAGCTATGTCTACGCCTATGTCACGCTCAGTGTCAGACATGCAGGGCCATAAGGTAGGCCTACAACACAATTTCTATTCAAGATTTGTTTCCAAAATTTTGAAAGGAAAAAATAATGAAGATAAAATCTCAGCATGTGTATCTTGCGTGGACTTTCTATTAGTAATTTAGATGAATAGTTTTGAAATTATTTTTCTCTTTGACAGAAAACTGGTGTGGAGCTCGCAATTGAGAAGGATGAGATTTATGTGACCCCGACACCGACCTTGACCTTTGACCCGACCTGGATGGAGGTCAAGGAAATGGAGGTGAGTTTGTTCTGTCAGATTAACAAATATAGAAATTCAGAATATTAAAAGAGTAAAGATTGGAAAACATCCTGAGCCTATTACCTGGTGGATGACCCAAATAGTTACCATGACAACTGTATATAAAAGTCTTTCACTGTGTTTTGTGGAATGTATCATCAATTTCACCTTCACTTTTTGTCTGTTACTTTTTGATCTAGACCCAACATTTTCATTTTTATTTCCCATCAGGCCTTGCGAGAGGAAGACAATCAATACTCTGAGCTCAAGTCAGCACTGCGTAGTGACATCAGAGATCTGAGGAGAACGGTAGGTAGAAAATGAATTCATCTTGCTCAGCTGTTGCATAGTCAATATTGCATTCTTCTTTCAAGGCATCATTCTATACCTTGTCATTCTCTACAGAGTTCTGAGTGATGTATTGGTCATTGTTGATGCTGTCTGTATGTCTTAGATTCTAAGCATGAAACTAGACATCATTTAGTAGCTTCCCATTCTGTTGTACAGTCTGCAGTTTCGAGCAGTATGTTCTTCAAATTCTTGATATCTTTGTCTTTGTTTCATAGATCCAAAGTATGATGAAGGAGAATGAGACATTACCAGACATAGAGCAGCTTGGACATGATGAGTTCAATTTAGATTCCGAGGAGCAGCAGAGATTGCAGGAGGAAGGAGAAGCTAAGGTTCAAGAGGTATGTAGGCTCCTAGAAGACTGCTGGGTAGATGTCTAATTGGCTTTTAGCATCCTATGGCTGTAATTAAATTATGTGTATACGTGCTCTGATCTGTGGGAGGCATATATCTTTAGTGTCTGGTATTTGTGACTGGCAGTTAGATATTCATGGAATTGATTCCAGTTGCCGGCTGTGTGTTCTGTCCATAGGCAATATTGTTTACCCCAATTACCTATTACCACCCATGAGTAATAGTATGTACTAAATCCAACTGGTTGGGATTTAATCCAGTGAAAAGAAACTGAAGTGAAAATATTAAATGTTGATTGGTGATTGTGAATCATTGTCTTGTGTATTTTAGATGCGAGCTAACATGGAGTTTGAGGATTTGGCAAAGACCTACTTGAGAGAAGTTATCAAGAATGAATGCTGGGACTCCATGCTGGTCAAAGGTCGTAGCATTAAGGTAAGACGTCAGCAATGCTGTAGAGAAATATGGAGTAAAGCTAGATTAGTCCTTTGTTTCAATCATTGATAATCCACAGTGACTGGAGTATTGTTTTGACTCTGAAGGCTTTCCTCATAAATGTAACCAGCAGTTACTATCCCATTAGTGAAATCTTAGTCCCTTTATTTTGTCCCATTAGGCCTTCCATATGAATCTTGAGGTCGGTAACTATCCAATGAGAGACAGGACTAAGAAGGAGAAGGAGGAGTTAGCGTTTGTCACCAAGATGAGACAGATAGAGGCTGCTGAGATGGCGGTAAGTACAGTCTGTTGTACAGCACTGAGTTATTAGTTTGTTACACATTCTGCAAGAATAATCCAGCTCAACTGTGATGTAGTTTAACTTCAAGTTTGAACATTCTTAAATGTACACACTGTTCTGTATGGCTTCTTTGAACTTGTGGTAAAATAATGTTAACACAGTGTACATCAATGTTAATGCGGCTGCACAACTAAAATGCAAGTAAACCAGTTTATCTGTTTTATCATAAATGTAGGGCCTACAATAGGGCTCACTCAATGACGGCCATCTCTGTAGGAGAACTGCAGCTGCGTATTTTACGCAATCAAGCACGGATTCTAAACACGCGCGCTTATTGCTCGAAATGTGTTCGAAATACGACGCTGAGATGCGCGTTATGCAAGTTGAGGCTCAAAATGCCGATGCACGTGGATGGTCTGTAGGAAATGGCGTCATTTGAACAAGACCTATGACTACGCAACTGTTGTATCTGTAGACTTAAGGTAGTTTAGTCTCTTCACCACAGAGTACGGCCAATGGCTTCTTGATACCAAGTTTTGTCTTGATGTCTTGATTTTGTTACAGGCTAGGAAAGAGATCATTGAGGTTCAACCAAAAGGAAACAATGCTAAGGTCAGTTTTATTTATATATATTTTTTTGGGGGGGGGAGGGTTGAGGAAAATCGTTTTATTTTTGAAGGCCAGTTTCCAATGTAGAACCTATAAATGGAACATTCCATTGGGAACATCTCCAGTTTTAATCAAGAACTCAATGTGCTTGTCTTGGAGTGCCCCATTTTCCCAAAAGGAGCATTCAAATCAATACGGATTAGATGTGAGATCTGTTTCAAGCTGCTTCTTATCCTACCTATCAGCCAAGTGATGGTGAGGATGCAGATGATGAATCTGAGGAAGGAGACGGTGCAGAGCAACCCTCAACCATCGGCAGTCTGGGAGCTCAGTATGGAGGAGGCAATGAGCTCTTCTACAGTCAGTTTGAACTTCACACACGGCAACAGAAACGCAACCAAATCATCCTCCTGCAAGACGCTATCTACCGTATCAAGATGAGCTTCAATAAGGACTTTGATGAAGTCTACCGAGCCAGGGAACAAGAGATAGGTCGCATCAATGATCGGAATCAGCGCATCTTGAAGATCATGGAGGATCTGACTAGCAAGGAGGAGGTGTGGAAACCTGAGATGGATTCTGATGAGAAACCTGAGAAACTACTGACTGTGGAGGATAGTGAGGTAAGATAAGGAGAAGAAAAGACAAAAAACCCGGATATTATTTCTTGATTGATGGAATTCAGGAGATATTGAAATTGTTTTTAAGATTGATTCTATTTAATGGTTCATCTCTGGGTTATAGGTCAAAGTTGAAAAGTTTGTCACGGCTGAGCAGAAGAAGAAGATGGAGGAAGAAGCTGCCGAGGAGGCAGAGAGGAAACGACGAGAGAAAGGAGATAATGCTAGAGATAGAGCCTTGGATATGATGATGGGTGGGGTACTGGAGATTAAGAAAGAAGATGAACTCAAGAAGGTGAGGATTAAGAATGGATTAGGTGAGATTAGTAATAACAAGGATGGTATGGAGGAGGTAGGAGTTAGGGAGATTAGAGGGCACGATAGAAGATAGAGTCTTGAATATGATGATGGGTGGGGTATTGGAGATTAAGAAGGGCGATGAACACAAGAATGTGCAGATTAAAAAGGGATTAAAGGAGATTAGATTTAGAGTGATGGTAAGCAGGGGATAATGGGTGCTTCCATGAGTGCTCCGTTTCAACTTAACTTTGATTTCAGATCTCCATTCTCACTGGAATTTCTTCTGATTTGATCATTTCACTCATCTAGGACGTCCCGATTCCAGCCTTTATGACCAAGCCGCAGGATGAATGGTCTGAAGATGAACAGAAAGCACACAAGGAGTACGAGAGGAAGGTCAAGGAACTTGGTGAAGAACGAGAAAAATACAGGAAGGTGAGCTCAACTATATTTGAATTAACACCGAGGTGATATATTCAAAGCCATTTTTTCAAACTGCTCAAATTTTACGGAGCAAAGGTTTCATCTTATGATTAAAAAAACTAGGAAAACTTGAAGGGCTCATAACATTAGCTGCAGAGAAGATTGACTTTTCTTGGCCAAAACAACAGGCTCCATGGAATGAAAGGTTTAAACCAACTTTTGACCTCATACTTGGAATCTGGAAATTGTTAAATTCTTTTGACTCTGTCTTTACCAACTCTAGACTCTTGAAGCTGAACTGAAGAAGATACAGACCATCATTGCAGACACAACTTCCAATTTTGATGATCGTCTGACTGACTTGTTCCATCGCAAGATTAAGACAGAGATGGTCATCTACCAGGTATGAACTGTGCCCTGTTTTCTCAAAGAATTGAAATTTCATTTCACAATTCCAAGCCGTATATTTCGATCTTGAGGCTTGACAACCTGTTCACATACAGCATTAAGTGCGAGCTGCCCTCTAATGAGCAGGCCAAACAGCACCACCAACAGTTCATGGGTTGTCTGTTAACTTGCCCCTTCTTTTGTGTAGGAGGAGCTGAAGATTCTGCGTCTGAATCGAGAGCTTCTTATTGAAGAGGAATTGGACGCCCAGGAGGAGGAATTGAACCGGAGACTGGACGCTAAGAAGGCTCTCAAGGTAAGACACTCATGCCTCACTCCTAACCTCAGACTCTGTGTCTCAGACTCTTATGACCTGGGTCTCAGACTTTTGTGACTCGAGTCTCAGACTGTTATGAATTGTGTCTCAGACTCTTGTGAATTGGGTTTCAGACTGAAACTCAAAATCAGATTTAAGTGATTTAGGGTTGAGATTCAGACTTCAGGTTTAGACTAATGGATTGTAATTTCAATCTATCCCTAACTCAGAAATTGTTGAGAGTCCTTCCCAAATGCTCGTCGATCGTCCACTGCACAGGAACTCAATGGCTCATTGTTTGAACATCAACTTTCAAGGGGCATCAAGCCTGGGCTATACCTTCTTAACTCCTCCCAAACGCCCTGAAGGATTTTCAAGGACCTCTGGGTTTTTTGGTTTATGACATATTTTTTTGCACAGTAAAAGTATGATGCATTTCTCATTGTTATATCCAGGCGGAAACAGTCCAAGCGGTCATGAAAGCCAAACGCATGGGTGACTCTTACCGAGACACTTACGACATCCGTGTCGCTGAAGACAAAGTCTTGGAGAAGAACTTCCGCAAGGAATTCCCTGAGGTCCACGCTGTGCTGGTTGATCAGCTGTTCAAGTTGTATCGCAGAAGACCAAGGTAGGTTAGAAATTAAACCCTGTACCACTATGTTGTCCAAGTTGGATATGAACCTCTGTTGTAGCTGTAGAAAGAGAAGAAATAAATTGAAATTTTGGTTGAAGAACCTTAAAGACTTTTTTAATTGATCACTTTACAGAGGCCAGCGACGAGATCAAAAGGGATCTGTCGCTGAAACTCCCGTGGGCGCGGCCAATCCGTATGGAGAGCGCCCCCTATCGGCAAGGCAGTCTAATACAACGGTGGCGCTGATGAAGGGATTGGATGAGCTTGATCATGAGTCGCACTGCCCGGAGGGAATCGAACCCCACGTCTGGACTAAGATGTGTAACCTACGCAGGACCAAGGCTCTTAGTGAACAAGAGGTATGTGAATGATGACAAGGACGACAGATTTGGGGTTTGTTGACAATTATCAAAGTTAAGTCAATCACAAGTCAATCACAATCATCCAGTCTCATGTGAAATGTCAGCAGTAACAAAAGGTTTTCCTTGTCAACTAGTCTTCCTGTTACTTGTGATTGACTTGACATTGGCTTGGGTTGGACTTGTGATGTACTTGTGAACTATTAGTTGTTGACTTGTGATTTACTTGACCACCTTCTGATGACATTGTTCATGTTTTTGATTTCACCACCGATCAGGTCAAAGTTCAAGCTCTGACATTGGCTGACATGAACGCCTTCCAGCAGCATCGACAGGATGAAGATGACAGACTGAAGATTGGGATTGAAGAAACTAATGAAGCCCTCACCAGGTTAGACAAGACACCCCCCCCCCCCCAAAAAAAAAATGACAGCAAGAACTCTTTAATAGCAACAAAATTCTATCTGATGAATGAAGATTGCTTAATGTTTTCATTTAAGCTTTGACTGACTTGAAGTAAATTTGATAAGTAAAGTATTATTCGAGTCCAAGCCAAGGATCAGTTTTACGTTTCTCTAGCTTTTGAAAATCACTAAAAATGTAATTTACACATCCGGGATTAAAAAGTTCATACCCTAATAGTACGAACTAAAACGTCAAATTACTCAAGAGGGAATTGCCTTGTTTGAGTCTGGCTGCCAAACAAATGTTAGATAGCTGTTGGTGCACACCCTGAGAAGTAGCAAGCTTTGTAGGGCAAGAGTCTGTTACTAATGGGTTAGGCGATTTCAGATTTAAATGATTACAATCTTAAATGTAAACCAATGTCCTGTATTTGTATAGGCTTCGAGAAGAGCGCTTCCAGTTCAACTGCAACCTGGATGTACAGTTTCTACTGAAGCAAGGTCAAGTAGAAGTGGACAGTGGGCCGTTCATACATGACTTCATTGATAGTATCTTGATCCATCGTGGGGTCGTTGAGGATCTGAACGGATCCATCAGGGTATGTAATAGTAATAATTACTGACCGTTCATACATGTCTTCAGTGATAGTATCTTGATCCATCGTGGGGTCGTTGAGGATCTGAACGGATCCATCAGGGTATGTAATAGTAATAATTACTGACTGTTCATACATGACTTCAGTGATAGTATCTTGATCCATCGTGGGGTCGTTGAGGATCTGAACGGATCCATCAGGGTATGTAATCATTACTGACCGTTCTTACGGGATTTCACTGATTTGTGTGTTTTTTTGGCTAGCAAGGTGGTGTGTCACTAAATTGTGGAACTGTCCCCAGCATCTTATTGCTACTGATGACTTGCCATATCAATTCCCGGATACATTTTTGTTTTAATCAAATTTTCTTTTTTTTTCTCCAGCAACTTGGAGAGCAGAAGATTGCAGCTATGACAGAGAGCAAGGATTTCAGAAAAGGAATTCATATTCTGGAATGGTAAGTCGGACACAATATAAAATTATCAAAACTCTTTGAATAGTAATCAAGCAGATCGAGTGTGAAATAAATGTTTAAATTCAGAAACGCAAAATGTATTTGATAGAGGAGACATTAAACTCACAAACCACCCTACTGTGATACTTTAACACACAGGCACGCGTTGACTTTGAAGTTCTGCATTTTACAACTTTAAGTTCCTTTAACATAAATCCTCTTCTTGCAGGGAACACAAGAAGATGGTGATGCAGATTGAAGATCTTCTGAACAAAGCTAGAACTATTCAGATGCTGAAAGTATCCAGAGATCTCCAAACAGTAAGTATGGTTTCCTTATAGACTGCGTGCACAAGTACCCCCTCAACGGTCACAAAGGGAGAGTTGGGGGGGGACCACTGTGAGGGACGCGTAATTTTTTTTCCTAGGAGGGTTAGGGGCAATGTCATGAATAATTCAGTTTTTCCTTTGAATCATTGCAAGACTTAGGTTCTCGTTCTATTTTCCCCTTAATTTAAAATTATCTCAGTGATAAATTTGGAGAAGAAAAATAGCTGATGAAAATGAGCAGCGACGACGTGGATTCGAACCAGGGATCTTTGTATCCATAGTTCATCTCGCTATCCACTAGGCTACTGTGTGGTAGCTCGACAACAACCGTTCTTTAAAATGCTTTAATGTATTGTTACTAGTTGAGTAACTAACAACAATGCTGTTGATGTCATTGTCCGTTCTCATGGATAAACATGAATTATTCATGACATTGCCCCTAACCCTCCTAGGAATAAAAATTACGCGTGAGGGACATTGGATTGGTCAAATAGCCCCATGTACTGTTTGTGCAGGGAGTCCATTACCCACTTTGCACTAGTAATAAACAGCAATCCCATTTTTGTCCAAGATTTATGAGTACATATCTGATCGCAATACAATCATCATTGTGCTGCTTTCTGAACCTTGTGTCAGTTGGTTGTGGAAACAAATCATCTTTGCTGAAAACAAGGTATGGTAGAGAAAATGAAACTTAAATAGAAAGCTCACACGTTTGTGTCCTAAACTAATACTTGAGACATTATATTTAAGCGCATATTCCTTCGTTGACAGTTCCTTCATAGTGAGGACCATGAAGCGAGACGTCAACAAGAAATATCCACACTGGAGTCCACGCTGGAGAACCAACGATCGGTAAGCTACTCATGTCAAAACAAAAATCACTACAAAAGCTCCATGTTTAAGTACTTTGCTCTTTCTTTAACAAGCATTTCCAATTCATCAAAAACTTGTGCTAAGTTGATGTCAGAAAGACAGTAGTAAAACAAAAACTAGAGGGAGATTTCAACACCCACTGTTTCACGTACATGATTTCCCTTGACATACTGCAACACAGATTGCACTGTATCGATTGACTGGTTTGTCTTTGTTGTTTCAGCATCACGAGAAGGCTTGTGAAGAACGCAAGAAGATCTTGAAGGGTTTACGTCAGACGATAAAAGGCAAAGAGAAGAATAACTCCACGCTGGATAATGACTTGGATGAAATGAATGTATCTGTGGCTGAGAGGAAACACATCAATGAAGTCAACGGTAAGAAAAACAAAATACTCCAGGAACATTTGAATGTGGATCCTTAATAATATACTTGTGGACTGGGGAACTAAATCTTGTACTTTTGATAGCTGGTACTATTGAAACAAATTACAAATTGTTGAGGGGAAATATATTATCAGATTACTATAAGCAGCAGGTGAATTTGCTATCAGACTTGAACATTTACTGCCAATTTTCCATATATTTCCAAACAAACTTTGTACTGCGAGCACATTTTAGTGTTAATGGGTATCAGAATACTTTGAGTCTTTTCATCTTTGAACGGTTGTTGTTTTTAATTTTACCCTCTGAAATAAATAAAATACTTTGGCTACAATTAAAAATTCAGAGATGGGCACAGTTCAACCACACATTTGTCTTGAATTTTACAATAAAAACCCAAATTCATGGTTTGGAAGACAAATCATAAAAATGAAGATTAGATTTGTGTAAACTGTCCAGTAGTAAAAACTAATGAAGTATCTCTCCCACTATTTTGACAGCTGCCATGCGGAATGTTGGTGGTTCAGCTCAGCGTATGAAGGACATCGTACAGCGACGTAAGCTAGTGGATCTAGCCAAGGCACAAGCTCAAGAAGTGGCCGTGTTGAGAGCAGAGGTAGAACGTCTTCGCATGCGTACATTCCCTGCACTGGTCCAAGTAGAACGCTGAGTAGTCTCACAGCAGACATCTTGGTCTTGTCCCATGAGGGCTTTGTATATACGTTTAATATATCACAGGCACCATACTATTTTGAATGAAAAAGTGCCTTATTTAGATGCTCATTGACAAAAATGCATTTTATTTTACAAACATCTTTGTGTAAATACTCTGGCTTATCACTTAAAAATGTTTGTACGTGTAAGAGGTGGTTGCTGAATTGAATGGAAAACAAAATTGACAATGTCCAAGTGTATTCCAGTTACAAGATGTGTTTTCACATCTGCTTAAAGTTGACATTTCTTTGGCTCAGGTGTGCATCTTTAAAATGTTATTTTAGAACGAGTAGAGAGTGTAAGTATGGAAAAAAAATGTAGAAATGTATACAAGTGCTACAAACCTTGGTACATTTTCACAAATACCAGTTTATTAAAAAAAATTTTTTTTAAGTACTTTATCCTGTTTTAGTACAATTACAGGAACCACACTCCATAATAAAGTATGGTTGCTAAAGCACTTCCCCATAATAGTTCTTGCAGTTTATAAAATGATTCCATACTAAAAAGGCTGCTTTGTTCTGACAAAAACCCTTCACATTGTATATTGTAAATATTAGCATTGGTTGAGTGTTTCTGTTTTGTATTGGATTCATTGTTTCCTAGCGTCTCAAGATTTGTTTGACAGATTTCCAGCAATGTACATATATTATGGCCGAAGTAGTGTTGGAAAATAAATGCATATGATTTTACAGTCGCTGGGTTTAATAAACTGATATTTGCATGGTGTATTTAATATTAAAATTTGAATATTTCCAACTTGTGATACTTTCAAAGCTTTCCTCATATCACACTGATTCTTCCAATATTGATAGGTGAATACAATCACTTAGATGTATTATTGTATTCAGTGGACATTTAACGATCCAGAAATATATTTATATGCATTAAGTAAAGTGCCCAGCAAGATAATTACTACTACGAATATAGTATATTCCGTCCACGAAGTTACAAATGTATTTGTTTGCATATAATAAAAATGTTCATTGACATTAAATTCATTGTATTGCATCATTTTATTATGCGTCACTTATGCTAAGGAGTAATTTGTCAAGTGGAACAACTTTTTGGAGGGGGGGGGGGGGTAGTCAATGGGATACACACTCGTCCAGTATCATGAGCTACTAATTTACAATTGAGAAAGGAAATAAGGCTAATAAATATATATGGACAGGAAAAACATTATGAACATGTGATAGCAGATTGGGAGCAAAGTTCAGGATGGATTATGTAATCAAGATAAAATATGTACGTCCTGAGCCTAATAGATAAGGGCTCAGCCCTGAGCCAATCCTTTGTTTATCGTCCGCAATAGATAGGCCTATCAAGAATCATGCATGAGAATTAACAGACTCCAAAATACATATTGTGAGCATCCATGTAATGGATTTGTCTTGCAGTATGTGAATTTCTGACACGGTAGTGACATCATGCATATAACTCAAAACAATTATTTCAAAATCGTCTGTGAAGTAGGTCATGTATAAATACAACAAAAACCTTTAACATAACTGAAATGTGTAGTCATTTTATTGAACAAAACATTAATTCCTTCACACACTTTACAATGCATAACTCTTTAAGAAAAATGTTAAAATAATGCTAAGGAACCAAAAAAAAAACTGTTATAATTGTTTTGTTAGCAATAACAATCACAGTCAATAACAATCACAATCAATAACAATTACCCCAAGGAACAGTGAACTTGAAAAGGCACTGGAATAAAACGAAATGACTGTCATCTGTGAATTCCCATTCTATAATTTAAACATAAACTTATATTATGTATATCTTGTTTTTAACCTCTCCTTCATATCAAATAGTGACATGTGTTTGATGGAATTAATCACATTTTAGTTACAAATCATGCCCATTAATCTGCTTACTGTTGAAAAACAAAACCCAAACTTAAATGTAAGCAAAAACAAATAAAACTGAAGATAACTACATCTGAATGTTAAAATCTACTAAAGCAAAGTCTGAAGTAAAATCAACATTAAACCCAATATTGAGGGTAAATCAGTGTTTTCTAGGTGTAAAATAGTCCACAGAAATTAACAGATGTTCAGCTCGATTCAATTAAGAAAAGAAATATGCTGACACCCGGTTGCACATAATATTAGTAATAAATATACATTAATATTCTGCACTCTTTTGAAAAATCTAAAAAAAATTAATCAGCATGCTGTCAAAAATATGAAAGATTACATTGTGCTTTCAGTATATACAACAAATCTTTGGTAACAATTTTAAAAAGGCAATTGTAAGTACTGAAAATCAGTTTTAAAATGGTTGCATACAAATAATTGTGAGAAAGACAACTTCAAATGGTGATCCAATCGTGATATTTACATTTTACAAAACTTCTGCACAATTTTCTGGCTTTTACAGAGTGAGTAAAAAAAAAGTGACCTGGATTCATAATTGTTCTTCCTTAAAAACAATTAAGTTTGACACACCAACAAAGCATATATTAAATGAGCATGCTCTTCCACTCGTTTGGAAAGAGGGGGACTAAAAGTCCATTTTTACAGCTGTCCACGGAATGCCATTTGAAGCTATTGAGGTGAGTGAGAACCAAAGATTACACACAGGCATTCAGATACAAACGAGATTTTTATAACTTTTGTCAAGACTGAAACATTATTTTTACATTCAGATTTCAGTTTTGAACATGAGGAATTTTTATTCTGAAACAATGATGGTGATTTTGTCTGTTTTCCTGTTCAAATTTTCATTCATTCATGAAGGCACAAAACGCCCTTGTTCAATGATCAAATTCTGTGATGTTTGTATTAAAATAAACATAACTTGTGAACACAGCAAGCAAATTACGGGAAATGTTTAGAGTTACTAGTCAGTGATATGTACTTTATGGAAAGAGCCACATATTTTGTAAAATCTTTTTTTCTCAATAGGTAACTTTCTTTTTGAATCAGAAATCGGTTTGTGTAGCAGAATAAATGCAAGATCTGGACATCAAAAAGATACTTAGGCAAACATGGGATCCAAACTTGATATCATCACTGTCTCTTATCTCTTTGCATACAGAAGTGAGTGCACCAGAGTGGTAACCACTGAAGATGAAAAGCTCAGATAGCCGCTCAGTGTCTATTAGACATTATTTTGATGCCTAATGAAGGCAATTATTTCTGTAGTCAAACATTTTGACAAAGTAATCTCAGTGCTAGTATTGGTAGGCCTACAAAAGTACTATCTGTAACTTTTTAGAAAGTACCTTTTAAATTTGTGTTGAGGTAAAACTTGGATTTATTGTTCAAGTCCTACATTCTCTATGCCACTCTCTTTTTCATTTGTGCCATACTTAGTTTCTCCGACATCATTCTGACCCTTAGCTGGTGCCACTGCCGGTTTACCAGCCGGCCGACGGAAACACTGCTTCAGTAGCATACTGGAGACAGACACGCCCACAATGAAGACGAAGACTAAGATGACCATGAGTAAGATGAGACTCATCTGCAAGTCCAGAATCTGAACCAGGGAGCTAAGCGTTATCATTAAGACGTAGATGAGAAGTATGAACATGAGGTAGAGGGCTTCCCAAGCTGGGCTGAGTGGCTCAGGTCTGGTGTTGGCTTGGGCCTGATTGAAGCAAATAAAACGAACATTCAAACAAAATTTAGTTCTATTTCACACATTTTTTTAAACCACTGTTTAGAAAATGTGCTTTTATTTGATGCAGAATATGCCAAAACTATGACAACCTACCTGGCAAGATTCTTTGGTATGGACAAGCAAATGTTCACAGGCAAGTTAAAATTGCAAAACTCCTTTAAGGGACGTAAGTGGGCTCTGAGTTTTGCAGGAAATTGGATAGAGTGTAGAGAAACTAACAACTTCGAAGTTCTTATTGTTTTATCTGAGCATCCGAGTAGGTAAGCTGTCTGTGATATTTAGTAGGTTCAATAAATAAATGTTTGATAGTGTTTCCTGACAAGATTATAACAAACAAGAGCAGCCTCTTTACCTTTCTTTCGATGAATAAGAGGAACTCGATGAGAACCCAAGAAAACAGCACAGCGAGGTACTCAATGCCTGGTATACGGATGATCTCATTCAATCGTATCCAGTATCTTCCCTGGCGATCTGGCAGGGTCGAGTATACCCCAATAGTGGCAGCTAGATAGATCACGAAGGGAGTAGGGCGGACCCAAGATGGCAGCTTCTTCCAGAACGGCAGTCCATAAACCTGTGTCATGGTGAACAGCCAGAGAAACCCAAAGCAGAACATCGGCCAGAGAAGGGTACCATTAAGATCAGGACCACCAGTCTGAGAGGCTACGACACTAGCATGGAGGATGACCCATGATTCTAAAGCCAGACGCCAGTAACGATTCAAATGCATTTTGGTGTAGATCAGACTGCCTTGAAGCATGATCATGAAGGTGTGAGCGAAACCCATGGCATGGCCCCAGGTATTCTCCATAGGGTGGTACCAGAAAGTGTAGATGGCAGCCCAAGCAAAGGCATAGCCGTGGTACTTGCGTAGTAGATTCACAGTGCCTTTAGGGAGAAGCAGGAACCGACTAACACGATCAGTGTTTCTGACAGTAGGCCAGCCAAACGCGAGCCCTCGATCGCGATACTCTAAGACCAAGACCAAGACAATCAACATGATGACGGAACTCTGTGAGCTAGCAACTGAGACGTCTTGAGCCGTGGCATCGTAGGTCCAGTGAGTCTGTCCAAGATGTAAGAGATGAAACACAGCGTTGATGATCAATGCGACGTAATTAAAGGTTTCCAACTTGCCAGAGTAACGAGGTGCCGTGTTGGACTGCCAGACAAGCTTCTGTTTCTGACCGTAGAAGATACAGCCCCACATAAGCATCTGATGACAAGAATAACACAACCAGACTGCTGTCCTGGACCACTCAGTGACCTGATTTGGAGGCAATTTCCAGTAATACCATCGAGCTGCTGCATCGTCTCCGTAACGACCAGGCACACCAGGCTCTGGCTCAAACGGCTCTGGTAAGAATCGTTCCTCCGATGTCAAACTCTCATTGTGAGTCCAGCCAGAGTTTGCATCCCAGCCACGGAGAGCTCCAAAGCCAAACATACCACCCACGACAGCGATGATAAACAGAACACCAAGACACCAAGCAACAACGTCATGACGCCGTTGCAAGAAAGGCTGTTGAAATAAAACAACATTTTCCATCAAAACAAAAATTACAGGAACATATGATATGATTCACATTTCTATTTTAATTAAAATCGATCCTCTTATTACTATTTCGTAATTGTTCTCACAAAAATTCAAAATACTAAATAAACTTTCAACGAAAATTACTTTTCAAAAACAAAGGAAAGTCGCATTTTTTAAACATTAACTTATCAACCATTTCCAGAATGACTAATAATTATGAAGGAAGCTTAGGCGTTTTACATTACTCAAGTTTATTCTTCTACAGTATGCTTCCATTTTTTAATGAGATAAACGAGTCTTGGCCAAAGTGCAAAACTGGCAATTAATGGACTGGTCCAAGGTTATTGAAACTCTTGGCTTAATTTCTGGCTAGTTGAATCATTTAGGGTCATCTTACTTACTCTTGTATCAATCTTTTCCATTTTGGGTTCCTCCTCAACAAAACTGTCCGTGGAGCTCATAATGTCTTATGTCCTAAAAAATACATTTATAAAACAAATAAATGGATAATAACAATGGTTTATTTTTATGAAACCAAGCTACACATACTTCAAATTCTGACTGAAAAACAAGCCATTCATACAGCAAGTGTATGAAAATGTAATACTTGCTCTAGATGCTAAAACAGATAAATTTATTGAAATTAATCCACAATTTTGAGCTTTATCCATTCCTTTAATTATCTACACGATTTGCACAGAGACATGTGTTTTCTTATACAAAATCAACATGTTGCATTTATAGAGACTGTCATCAAATATTGTTTTGCTTTTTGCTTTACTGAAAAGTAACAGCATTATTTGTTCTGCAAAATTTTTCTTCAAATGATGAAATTCAGGACATGTATACATTAAAGGTAGAGTGGATCATTTGTCATTTGTGTATTTGTTTCGTTTGAAGCAACAGAAGTGCTCAAAATCTAAAAACAGGTGTTTAACAACTGCTGTAATTATCCCGAGAAAACAATATTTTAGGATCTCGATTTCAATTCAAAAGTTGCCGAGTCACATTTTGAATTGCGCCCAAAATCAGCACTGTCACGCACATGAACCGTCAAATAATAGCAACTGTGCACGCGTTTGCGTTGTATCAATGGTTGCGCGCACCCTTTCATAGATTTGCCCAATTACAAACAAATTACCAACCGGAATTTCCTAAAATGCATCACTTGACTCATCCTTTGAAATGACCTTCTTTTATTGTTTTTTTTTCTCAAATTGACAGCATGCCAGAAAAAAAACAATTTCACAGGTAGTTTAAAGCCATCACTATCTTTAAACCAAGTAAGCTTTTTAGCAATAATTTGGTCAGTTACTTTCGGGATAGCTGCAAATGATCTACTCTGCCTTTATTACATCAGAGTAAAACTGTGCAAACTGATGTATACCTACCTTGTTCTTCAACAGAAGAAATAGGCCTACACCTTGGTCGTCTTCAGCAACACTGCAGAGTACTCTTAATAACCCTGCAAAGTCATAAGCATGGATTACTAAGGAAAGGCTTAAGTCTCTCAATAGTCTTATCAATGTAAACTTGTACAAATGTGTATAGACATAGGATCCAAATCCCTGTGCCAACATATACTGCATTGCAATTGGTATTCTTGAAATGATTTGTAGGCCTACATCGTACACGTGCACAGCCACAATCATGGGTACACTTTTTGTTTAAAAAAAATGACTGGAAAACACATAACACAATAAAAAAGGTCCGATATCACAAATGGGAAGTTTGTTCCGCCAGCCATCAGCAAAAACATGTGGCAGAGCTACAAAGTGTCCCTCGTGACATTTAAGGACGACCACAGTTCATAGAACTGCAAATCAAGTTCATAAGATTGTGCCCTATTTGTTGTTTATTTAGTGTTAAGTGAGGAGATTTTGGGAAAAGGTCATTGTCTGCTTGAAGCTCTGATGAAGTGCTCCGCCAAAACGCTGAGGAAAATAATACTTTGGTGCAGACTGTGAGTGTGACAAAATTATGGAATAATTCTTATTAGGACACTGTTATGAACAACAGATCAACACTGAGTAAATCCTGTAATTGACGACAACAGTTAAATAAAAAGATTTTATAAAACTTGAGGTTTAGCATCTGTATTGACAGAAAAGTTGAAAATTAAATGTAATTGTTTTTGGAAAATTTGTGACCACTTCTTTTTGGAAGATGTGGTTCAGAAGAAGACACCAAAATCATTTCATTTGATAATGAATTTTCCAGTAAGATGGATGATCAGGAATTTTATGGAAATTACCCCCACAAGTGACCTGCAAGACAAAAACCCGAAATATTTTGAAAACCATAATTTTTCAGGGCGGGGGGTAAAAATGTAAATTTTATCTGTTGTATGGTGTCTCATCTTAGTGCTGATTTACAGTAACATAATAATTATGCTTCACCTGTATCCCAGCTACAACATGCTGCAGAAACGTTTCTCTAAAAATAACTATTCTTTGTCTGAAAATTATGAAACAATTCTGAATTTGAACAGCATGTTGTTTGTTGTTCAGTATCTGTATCGGTATCATTATAGTCGGTAAAGTATCCCAGGGGAAACATCACACCAACTTAGAGAGAAGACAATGAGAAGAAATTACAGTTTTAGAGGTTGGAGGAAAAGCCCAGAAGAATATTCTGGGGAAAACCCACGGAATCAGGTAGGGACTGAAAACCCAATCCACATATTGATCCAGATGGGATTCGACCCGGGTCACAGCGGTGGAAGGTGAGGAAAGTACCGCTGCGCCAACCTGACTCCCCAATGTTCATAACATGGTGTCCTACATGTATTCAATGTTGGAATACAGCTGTTCGTTAAGACAGAATTCAGGGAGTGGTCACTGGCTAGTTGTTTGTGGTATGCTCTACTATGATTGGGAAACAATGTATTTAATGACAACATGCTGAAACCTTTCGAAGACACTGTTATAAACAACAAGGCAACTCTTGGACTAGTTAGATTCCTAAAATCAATAACGAACCAAACTTCTGGATGGCCTCATAAAATACACCACTCACCAGTGAATACAACTTGTAAGCCAACTGGAACTGGAAACTGCATACAAATTATCACTTCAATCAAGCATGAATAACGATTGTGTGACCAATTCATTGTGTGCAATAACAATAAAAGTACGGGTCAAACTACGATTTATGTAACAGTGCCTTAACGGACTTTGTACTCAGTGACATTAGTCTGGTGCATGCAGTCAGTACATTAATTTTTTATTAGGCCTAGGCCCTAGGGCCTATTTAATTCATTAAAAATTTAAATAGCGGTTGTTAAAAAAAATATTGGGGCCTAAACAAATCAAATTACGAACTTAAAAAAGTAATCGAAATATAACCCAATAAAATCGACAAATGTGACAATCTATTGCAAATAAACAAATTCTCAGTGGAATCTTACCAAAAATGACACGGTCACGGGAGCCGCGAGCGCTGGCGACCAAAGAATAATAGCGTTGGCGACGGTAGTGATCTATATATAGCGCCCTCAAGCACCGATCATTTCCTCCAAGACGTGATCAGCGCGCAGCGTCCGGACGCTGCGTCCGTGCCGGGGGTTAGTTCGATCCAACTCGGACCGTCCTAAACCTACTCGGATCGGACAGTCGGACCCATGTCAACTCGGACCCATGCCAACAGTCGGACCCCCTACTACGTTTGCCCTCATTGAGCTTTATTAGACGATAAGACGAGAAGACGAGAAGACGAGAAGACGAGAAATACGTCGTCAATGTCTTACATATGGACAGTGTTGTAGGTCTCGAGACTTGTCTCGAGACCACTTTTTGCTGGTCTCGGTCTCGGGAGCTGTGGTCTCGGTCTTGGTCTTGGTCTCGGTCTCGGTCCCCTTTGGTCTCGATATTTTGGCTGGTCTCGAGGGGTGACTGTGGAGTTTAGGATCCGAGACGTTCCTATAATTATAACAGATGAAACATCCACCTTCAACTTTTTACTTTTGTCAAGTTTTAACATTGCAAAGAATAAGAAAAAAATGCGCACTCCTCAGTTAAAGTTTCTTCATCAGATTTACACTGTACAGTCGTTAAACAAATTTGTTTTTTAATTTAAAAAAAATTAAAAAGTGGCAACAATATATGGAGTTGTTTCCAATTATTTTTTTTAAATTGACTGTGCCAACAATAAATTATGTCGTCATGTTGTATTTAATTATGAAACAAACATGAAGAGCACTCGCACAGTCGCATGACACAAGCAGGTGCAAGTGATTCCTAGCTTTCAATCACTTCCTTCACATCCCCATCAACATCATCATCTCAAGGACAGACTGTTCAGCTGTAATTATGTGTCTTGTTTTTTATCGAGATTATTGTTATTTATGATTATCCGCGGTCTCGGTCTCGGTCTCACACCATATCGGTCTCGGTCTCGGTTTCATGGGGGGATGTCGCCCCCCCCCCCCCCCCCCCCTGGCTACGCCACTGCCCAAACCCCTCAAGATCCTCTACTGCACTGTAAGTTTGATGCGAGCCATGTTAAATACTGTGCTGACGTGACGTTGCCCAGCTAATTAAGGAACAACTGAATATTTTTTTCTTCATTTTAACAGGCGGAGAGATGTACCATGAAGATCATGGTCTACATGGCACAATTTGTTACGGACTGGCGCCTACGCCATTAACATTTTCAACACTGAATTCAATTCGGGATCGAAAAGGCTTCCTCTCTCCACCGTCATGCCTTGTACACGATGTTCTGCAAGAAATAGGCCATGGACCCATGGTGTTTGATTTTGATCATGAATGTTACATTACTGAGTCTCATCACGCTCGCTGGCTTTCAACCAAGATTGATCGGCCGTCACTCCCTCCAGTCAAATAGGATTTTTTTTTTCTAGAGGAAGGAAAGCGCGGGAAATCTTTTGTAATGGCGGGAAAAGTAAATTCGACACCTTGCTGATTATCAAGCATGACTCATTACTACAAAGTGACCAACATAATGCTCAAGTCCAACACAAGAAATTGCTTCATCTGGGGGTATAGGCCTATATGCGTAAGCAAAAACAGAGAATAGGCACAATAATATTTACTGAACATAAAAATACACATGCGGTTGATGGCCGCAAAACCAATGTCTTTTTTTGTGTGTTTTCGGTGCCTTCTGCCCAACCCTCAGCCCTTTCCAATTTCGACGCCATTTTGTTATTATCATTTACACAATGTGACTGACATGACGCGTGTCAACATTAGTGAGCTGTGCTAAGCCCGTGAGGCAAAGTGGAAATCGATCTTGGGAAACATGCTCGACTCTCGTATTTCTCAAGAAAGCATGATGTAACATTCTCCTTCAGACGTGCTCGACTTGTGTGGATGTTGACATAAGGGTCCCATTGCGTGATTTGAGCAACAAAAACGCGCAGAAAATCGTCTCGGTTTGCGACACTTTATACTCCCTTATGAATTTGACCACATCTATTGCATTTTTTAAGTGAGGAAAGATAATATTCTGCACTTAACTTTGACGTATATCTTGAGCTACGCCAGAATCCCAGCGATAATTTGGTGCCATCTTCGATAGACTCTTACGGGAGGTGGATGGCTATATATTCACTCTTCTACAGTAAGAAAATCAAAAAAAATTCTGACTGTCAAGAGTTTGATATCTTTTAATGATCAAGATGTGAACATTTGTTGACTTTTATGATTACTATATTCCACGTACGTGTCCTAATTGTTATGAAAACAAAACAACCTGTTTAACAAACTGTATAACTGCATGTTATCTTCTAGGCCTAAAAGCTAGAGTTTATTACCAAAACGAGACATATCCATTTGAAAAAAGGTGAAAAATTTGGACGGTTTTGAAACTTTCAAGAATATAAACAATACAACATCTGTTTCTTAACTTCATTTTTCTTGTTTTATTGTATTCTTATAAATGGATTATAAACTCTTCATTATAATAGACATCTTGGCGCAGAACTATACTTCCTTATCGATTGCAACTTAGCCCTTATCCCAAACCTCTTCCGCACTGGGGAAATTGGATTGTGTAATAATGAATAAAATATCAACTACACTGCTATACATGCACCGACACCAATTTTCGGTTGGCGACACGTAAGAAAAGAAACGGCTATTTTTGCAATTTCAATTATCAGTCAGGGGAATTTCGAAGGACGTTTCTGGGAATAATTGTCGTCAGGCTTATACCTAAGGGAACTCGAGTTACCTTAATCATCCATACAGGAAACGCTAATTATTTAGGGTTATTTTTTCCTTGCCGAGCGAACCTAATAAGAACATACGTCCTTGCAAAGGTATCAAGTAGTCGCAGACAGTCGAAAATTGTTGTTTGTTTGCGACAATCACAGACAATCGTTATAAAATAAGAGCATTTTTTAATACCCTCTGCGGATGAAACGGCCAGTTGGAGAGGATTTACCCCCCAAATTGTTTAGTTTTACATCAATCGGATGCAGTTCAACAGACAATTTTAAAACAGTGAAGAGCATGATTTGGTTCTATCTTCCCGCTGGGTCTTGTTTGGATGTGTAATTAGTTGGCGGACCGGGCCGTCTTGTGGTGACAAATGAAGTGACAACGTGGTGCCGCTGGGATAATCTAACGGGAAACAATCAAGGCGAACACAACTCCGGCATAGCCTCTCTCAACAAGATGAATTCCCCTTGGAGAAGGGCTAAAAGCATAGAGTGAAGATCAAAGAGAGTACAGCGGTGGGAGATTTCGCCTTCACAAGAAAGCAAGGCGACGATGCGGAGGTGCTGCTCAAGAGCAGAAGAGTGCATCACAAAATAGCCGCGCTAGTGGCAAGAATCATTAATCGTAAAGCGTATAAACAAACTTAACGGGGTCAGGATTGTGGCCTGTGTTTTTAGAAGGAACGTATTATTGTAATTGGTAAAGTTGGAATTTCCGGATGTGAAGAGGGTAGGAAAACAAGCGAGACTGCAAATGACAGTTTGTGTTTGAGGAGGGACGTTTGCTCTATTCGGCACTCAGAGAACGAGATGTAATTTACCTCACGGGTCAACCTGCGGAGATATTGAGATTCATGTCAAACTGGAGCTAGAAAAATGAATTTACAGCCTCTGCCGTCTCCACAAAGTCTAGTTATGTCTTACCATTCATTGATCTCAATACGTTTGTATTTATACTCTGCGCATATTAGTTCCATTTGTTTTCAATATAATTTGATTAAACATAAAAGCTGCGATGAACTCAGGCGGATGGCTGATCTGGGGATAGCTTTCCCCCGGCGACGCGACACTTTGCCGATATTTTCTTTAAGTGCCAGCACCACAAAACAAAAACTAGTAGCAATATTCTCCCCCCGCTTTTAACCATTATGCCATAAACACAAAAAGGGGCACCTTTCATAAACAAAATACCGATTTTGCCCCCTGGACTCAAAACCACTGCATAAAAAAGGGTTTCTTAATCTTAAAATGAAGACCAGATTCATTCAAAAATTGTAGAATTTTGGTGCGATTCTTAAATTAAAATTTTCGAAAGGATGTTCACCTTTAAAGGTATGTTGGGCTCACGGAGTGCCGTATATTGAATCTTTATTTATGAGATTTATCGTCAGAACTGATGCATGGTATTCAGGTCATACAATCGAATCATCATCAAGTTCCTTAGAATCTTTTCCAGGTCAAATATCGAGGATTTCTTGATTATCATGATTGACCTGGTTGAGCCCCCCCCCCCCGCCCGACACCGGCCTGCTTCAATAATTCTCTGGCATAGCGGTGCAGCACGTTATATTTCAGACTAGAACTTTCTCTCACGACTGGACACTGTGGTTTACGGAGTGAACAATTTACTGTCTTGCATCATGGAGCTACAAAACACAGCTCCATGCTTGCATCGATCTTAAGCAATTTCTTTTCTTTTTTTTGCAACATTTCTGATTCGCGTCTTTGCAACCTTGAGGTTTAATAAGAAGGCAAGATGTCAGTTATCACAGCTGCGTCTCGAGAGAAGTTGATAAAAGATGGAGAATCCAATCAGTGTTACGGACACTGATTGTTGATGGAAGAGCTGGACAATGTAACCAAGATTGTTTTTCAATCATAGAAACCGAATCGATTTTCCTATGACTGTATTCAGTTCATTTCTAGGAACGGTTATTCAACGACCAACAATTCTTCGACCTGTAACAACCATGAGAACACTAGCGCAATTGACGTATACGATTTT